AAAAAATATGAACTGTTAATGACTCGAAAGATATTGAGATGTACAGCCATGGAATTTATTTTACTTCAAAGTCGATTTTAGTACCTCGAACACTTTTATAAAAAGGGGATTAGCTAGAATCGCCTTTGAACTACAGAATGACAAAAGGGGACTACAATGCGGTTTTTGAGATTTTGCCTCAACTTTACAGTCGACAAATGAGTTTTATAGTGATTGAGAGTTAAAGTTGCTGAAATGATGGAAAAGTTGTCGAAGAAAGTAAACAATTATAGGGATATAAGCCATTGGAAAAAATAGTTTGTTACAGTTAATTGAGGCAAAGAAACCAACAACTTTTTTTTAAAACCAGCTATTAGTCATATTTATAGTTATTAATTCTTAGACTTTCATGGTGAGGTCTTAACTTACTTTCAAAATGTCATGGAAATGCAAAATATGAAGAGTACCACCAGTTACCCAATTCTTTCCTTTTATTTTACCAAAGTCCGAAATCTCTGGTAAATGAGCAATCTTACATCAGTTCATAGGGAGAAATTTTTCGTGAATATGAATGAAGCCCGACTGAATAAATATTTTCATAACTTGTATCATTAGTAATAGTTAGTTTCACGACAAATCTGCCAAAATATTACAGACTATCAGGCTAAGGTTTCAAGATTGTTTATTACAAATTTTTTGCAGTATTTTTTAATGTGACTAATCTTGAATTATACAAGGAATTCTACCGGCACTAATGCTATTATCTAGTCGGTAGCATTTAAACGGTAACTGCGGGTCAAAGTCGAGGGGTTTAAGACTGTCATCGGCTCAAAGTATAACTTTTATTCATCTCTACACACCCCAAAAAATGAAAACAACGTGTTGGGTCAAGCGATTTATCAAGAATAAAAGTGGCGATAATAAATCTGCAAACTACAACTCTTTTTGGGGCCTAGTGATTATAAGCTGATCATGTGCTTCTGTGGGCTTTCGTAACTCGACGTTGGCTATCATCAGGTAGGTTCATTGTGTGGCATTTTGGAGATGAAGTGACACTACATTTGTCTTTAAAAAAGAAATCTGGTATAGTTTATCTTTCAAGAAATTGGAAACAAATCCTAAAATGAATTCTATTTTACGATTGCATACAGTGCTTGGCAATGGTGCTTGTAATTAAATCTAAAAGCAATAAGACTGGTTGTTTTAATTTTGAAAAATTTAAATTCAGCTAGCATAAAATACAAAGAAATGAAGGGTAATAGAACGATATTAACCGAATGTATCTGTTTATACATTCAACTTGTTTTGGCTGTTTTGGGCACACCATTCTTGTCATTAGTGTGCGGTCCATCAACCTACCTGAGTATTTATTGTAGATATAAACTAAGAATCCCACAACCTTACCTACTTATGGCTGACTTCAGTACCACAGTCCAGTACATTTTTAATTTTTTCTTTACTGTCATAGTCATCATCATTTGTCACTCTATCTCTAAAATCTTTGTCACATTTTGTTTCTAAATGTTTTAGTTACAGAAGAAAAAATAAAACTGCAAGAAAAACGGATTCGTGAATACCGAGTTATCTAAGACTCCTTCAAATTCCCAGCATTTTTATATCTCTGCTATGCAAATTTAGACATTAAAAATTCTTGCAATTACTTTTACATGATTTGCCGAAAAGGAGAAGTAATTTGAGTCCTCCACTACTAGGGCTAACATGAAGCTGCATTTAATTTCAAGTACTTCATTCCCCACTTCCCCTAATTTTGAATAACTTTGAATAATTATGATCACAATAAATATTATGTCAGTAATTTGTGTACAGTTAGCCTAAACTTATTTGGCCTGTTCTGCCTTATTTGGAAATAGGACATTTGAAATACATTAATCTCACCAGGAAATGTTATCTGTCATACGAAGGCATTAAAGTAATTGTAACATATTTTCGTACTTAAATGGGCTGACTTTTGTGCGTAAAAATGCATTTCATGACAAGATTGATAGATACACATGAAGTAGTGCATTGAGTTTCGACTTCCGAAAAAAGAAATAATTCGTGATTTTTTATTGCTTCTGTGGTAATAGTAGCAAAATTACTCACCTCTTTCGCTTTTTGCACTTGCCAGTAAAGAGGATGCTACAAGGTTTTTGTTTGCCATGCTCTCAGAGCGGGTTAAACTATTACCACCAATTTCGTGTACTTCTACATTTACTTTTGCGATTTTGGGTAAGGAATTACACTTCATTCCAGCCAGAATTAGTCTTTGCTTGGGTGACAATGCCTCCATTTCAATAAGTTGCTGAAAAAATGAGAAATATAAACTGATAGAAGCAGTATTAACGGTCACAGTAGGTGACTATGAACTTGGTTGACAAATTGCTATGGGTGCGTAGATGAGGGGTGACCAAATTCAAGAGCACACTTTCAAATTCCTGTGGCGGTAAATGCACCTAATTCAGTTAAGAGTAAGTACTTGGCTAATTTACCCAAACAGCGCTTAGAACCACCTGGTTTATTCTCATTTTCATGGAGCTAAGTCGAATATACCAGCATTTATGTATTTATATCAAAGAAGTCATTGCTGTCAAATGGACGAACAAATGCTCAGCTGAAAAATGTTTTTAGCAAATATCAAAATACTAGGCCCTCAGAGAAACCGGGCATGATGGATAGGTTCATGAGACAGACAGACTTACGACAACCGAAACTGTGTGCAAAATAGAGAGCAAGTCATTGAAAACATAGCCTTAGTCTACATTACTTAAATGACCAATAAACTACGATTACCCTGAGATGTGTCTTGGACTTTGGCCTCTTAATATAAAGTCTATTGTTATAAGTGGCGTAAATGCCATACTTGTGAATGATGCAACATTTCACATATCCCAACGATTATGCTATGAATCTTCGTCAATTCACGGTTACTTACACATATATGCCTGGTAGTTTATAAAGTAGAAGATTAAAATGATTTTCACTTAGAGTATGCTTTTACATACATAATTTCAGTGAAAGAATGCTGGAAATACGTTAAACTCCATAACAGCATTCCTGTGTAAATGTTCCATGAGTTTTCACTAGTTCCTTAAATTTGAATTAAAGTTTGCTGCCCCTACACCTGAGATTTCCTCTGACTGGTCGATGTCACTTTGATAAAGCGTTACCTGTACCAATATTAACTAGAGAACTCTAACACTCCAGTCAGCAGGAGGGTGTGGTCTCATCGTTCCCCGAAGTACTCAGATTGTCGAAGACAAAGACCTCTGTCCTAAGTTCCTTATCTATTCATCGTTATGGTTGGGAGTTCAACTGTCCCCATGATCTTGTACATGCATGCATGCTTACATAGCAGTTCCTAACCAAAGGAACATTTATACTGAATTTGGTAATATCAAATATTATCAGAGTTTAGTCGACAAGTAAAAGATTTCATTTCAAATAGCATAGGTTAGATTTCACGCACAAAATATTTATACTTAAAGGTTGGTAAATAATGACTGATTAACGGATCCTATTATGAAAATACAAGTGGACTATTCCGATACCTATCGATTAGAGAAGGCAAAATGTTTACGACGAGGAGTTAGACATTTGCATTTTTAATCGTTTAAAAGCATCAATTCTTAGGACTCAGTCTATAATTCCTGTCTTCCTATCCAAGCATTATTCTACAATAGATTTTCCGATAGAATGTATTGACTAATGTCATTTCGAGAAGCAAATTGGGTACTACAAAATCTAGAACGCAAGCGCAAGAAATGTACCAAAAATTAAACCTATTTTTTCTGAATTAGGATGAATCAGCTTGCCATTTCTAATGTCTGCAGTGCTGGTTAACATAGCAAACGATAACCATACGCTTTTCTTGGTTCATTTAAAAGTAGCCCTGAGCAACTCAAGGTAGTTTGATCATATTGTTCAATGTGTCCAGGAAATAGTTACTAGGTGGCTGTGATGTTATTTTCACACCGAATACGTGGGTAAAGTGGAATAGACTTTTAACAATTGTTCACTGCACCTACAGGGCCCTAATCTCTCCTTAATATCCTCTAAAGAGCATCCATGACGATATAACTTTGCAAAAGAGATGATTATCTATTAACACAAATTTCATGGACGGACAGTCACGAAGCTTTGCGGAGTAACGTTAAATTTTTCAGTGAAATATATGTAATTCTGTTCCGCCCACAAAGTAAGTACTAGTGCATTTTGTGAATTTTCTGATGTATTCCGCTTATCGGAGGGAATTTTTAGGGTTCTCGAATTCTTCTATAAATTTAATAAACTTTGGAAATAATACTAGATAGGAGATGCAAAATCAGGAACCCATATTATCATTTTCATTAACCACTGACCTATAGGTATTCTAACTCATGCTAGACTATCGCACATTTGAAGTTAAATGTATGCATTTATCGTCAACAAACGTTAGGTTCCAAATCGCAATCATGCTTACCCTGAGAGTAGGGTTTGAAGCACATCTCCTGCCACCAGAATCATGTGTAGCCGGCTTACTATAGATTGGTACAAAATTTTGCTACTGCTTCACCTCTCACTATTTGTGTTTACTCCCACCTTTCATGTTTCAGTCCCGGTTATTTTTGTAGATCCCAAAAATTTCTTCAGACAATGCTAAATCACGGCTTTACGGTTGATTTCAATTATTTTTAACAACAATTGATTGTATTCATTTTCAAGATCACGTGATAGACTTACTTTTTCAAAATATCTTACAGTCGGGAGAATATTGCATCTGGGTTATGATGAATTAGAGCAAGAATTTTTAGCCCATCAATACATCTATTCTCTCAATACAAAAACATAGAAAACAGTAAACTCTAGCCAATCGCCTCCTCGAACATGAAGCAGATCAGTTGGAGTTCAAGTAACTGTGGTATTAGTGCAAAATATATATCCAAAAAGGAGATGCTGTAAACGTTTCAGGCTTCATCACAGACAGAAGAAGATCAGAAAATTAGAGGATAGTTTCATTTCTTCTTTTTGTGTTCAGACCAGAACTAGTTGCCGGCAGCGGATGCAGTGGTGGGTTTCTGCCGTCCTCGTCGCTGGGCCAAGAAAGATGCTCCCACAGGCTCCAACTCAGTCCGAGGGCTTGTTTTCAGGGCTTTAAAAAATCCCACCACAGTAGCCTTTCCAAAGAAAAACAAAGACTAAATAAATAAAAGTGGATTGATGCTGACTTTGAATTAGTAACTAAAGTAGTTTCATTAGGCTTGGGACAATAAAGTGCTTAATTCATATAATTAAGCTAATGTTTTTTATAGTGATGCATATATACTAGATCAGTTAAGCATGGATGCTTGTGTTACAAGTGGCACTAGGTATGAAATCTCAAATAAAGTATTGTTTAGTCTCTTATGTTTCATTAATATCGTCCGGTAATATCTTTTACGGTCTTATACTATTTTACACGAGTTTTGAATTTATGGATATCGTTACATGATTAAGAAGTGTTTTGCGAGGTCAGAACAATCCAAGTATTGAAGAAAGGTAAGTAGTTGAGGGTTCCAACTTTGGTTTGATATTATTTGTTCAAACTTGACTGGAATCCCCCTATTGTTCCACATAGTTTCCATGACTTAAAATTATTGGGACAAACTAATGCCAACTTGTCATAATAACGAATCGTAAACTAGGCAGTGGAATAACAAAATTCATTTGTCTAAAAATGAATTGTAACTTTACTAATCAGTAAGTAGGGAATCTTAACTAACAGGCTGTTCAAAAGTTTAGGAAGATCGTGCTACTTTGAACTTTTGAGAAAAAAATCATATGGAATAGAACACGTGGTAAACTTTTTAGGTAGTTATGTTGATTTGGTGATCCGTGTAAAAAGGTGAGTGTGGGTTCCGCACATTTATGGTTAGTGTCAAAATGTGACATCATTTAAAATTGAGCCGCTCATAGTCCTCAGGGAGGAAGTTTTACGTCAAAATGCAAAATAATCTCGTAGAAACTATTCTTAGGTTGAATTCACCTCCAAACACACCATCTGACTTTTCTGGGGAATTCCCTTTGCTTGACTCGCGATTTTTTATGCACTTTAGCAGTAGTGATTATCCTCTGTCAGCAGTTGGCACTATCCCGAAGAAGGTAAGTCATCTGCCTAAAGCATAATCTTGATCACTTAGGCCTTCCACCCTCTATTAATTGGCTAGTCACTCTTGAGACATAAGATCGACTGGTCATTGTCATTTATAACAAAAATACTTTTCAGTAAACGCAAAACAGTATAAATAGACCAATGAACATTTAGTAGGCAACCTGGGTCCCACAGCTGGACAATGTTTAAAAGAATCCACAAATAATTTGCTCCCTTAGCTCGAAGTTAAGTGAAACCACTACAAATCCCTCATTAAAATCACAATTCCATCTCACCTTGACAGTCTGAGCATCCGGCAGTTGAAGGGAGTAGGATGGATGAGCTGGAAGGAGGGTTCGATTTTTGATCCAAGGATCTCTCAGAATTTCAGAGGCCGTAGGTCGCTTCTTTGGATCAACGTTGAGCATACTGAGAACCAAATGCTAAGATTTGTTTCAAAAAAGCACCAAATTAGACATGATTGTTCAAAAGCAGATGTAACTTGACATTGGATTAGGCAGCTGCATGAAAGAAAGAACGAGAAAAGTCGCAATTTTGTCTCACCTTTGCAGCATCCGATATTGAGCTCCAACATGAATCTGTAAGCTGCGGTGGACCCAATTCAATCCGTCGAAGAATCACTTCAGGAGGATCATTTGGACCAGTTGCAAAGGGAATTCGACCTGTGAGCATTGTATACAAAATAATCCCCAAACTCCAAATATCACAGGCCATATGATAGCCCTGCATTTTCAGAACCTGTGAAAAGCCAACAACGGAAAATATACTAAATTGTTATGAGTAGATTACTTTTTAACAAAAAAACATACCTCGGGAGCTGCGAATTGAGCGGTATAGCAGGGCGTCATTAGTAAACCGTTTTCTGCTCTCAATTGCTTAGCAAAACCAAAATCACAGATGCAGATGCTTTCCGGAGAACACATTGAATCTGAATAGAGGATGTTTGACGGTTTTAAGTCACGGTGAACTACCTAAAATGGAAAAAAAACGTGGATGAATTGATTGCCGGAGTTAGGGTCCCAAAAAAGCAACAACCCAACGCACCATCTGTTTATGAAGAATGTCAAGAGTTCGAGCAAGAACTTCCACAACGGAACTGGCCTCCTTCTCGGAGAAGAACTTCTGACGCATAATCTTGTCAAATAATTCCCCACCGGAGAGGTAGTCCGTCACAAGATAGACTTTGCCACTACACTCATAGACCTAAAAACAGGAGAGAAATTGACATTCATAAAAAAAGAGGATAAAACCGGTTCAAAAATATGTTTCAGTTAAATTCTCAACTTTTGGATAACTAGTATTCAATCTACATCCTCGCTGCAAAGGTATTTAGTTAAACATACATCTTGACAGTTCGTTAAGCATAAGGGATCAAGTGCTTCCGCAACTTTCTACTTACATACCTTTCTCTTCGGAGAGACTAGAGGAAAATAAAATTGGATTATTTCTGGATGAGGGAAGGATTGGTCCTTTCCAAAGCGCTCTTTTAGAACAATTCATTACTTTGAACTTTGAAAAAAATAAAATTTTATTTATTTCCCATTCAGAAATAAAATGGCTTTAGTTACCCGAGTACTACAAAAAGATGACACAATTTAGATGCGTTCTTAAAAAAAATTAGTTGACTGATACTTATTTAAGCGTCAAGTACACTGCACAGTGTCTTCAATATCCTTGGGTTGCATTTCTGTCTTTGTGACATGGCCTTCCAGTTACGTCCATAACCCTGCAACCCCACTTAGACTAATAATGAACATTTCTTTTACTTTGGTATGCTTCATTACAGAGTTGGAGAAAAACGGGAGCGTCACATCAATGGCAGCCGTAAGCAAACGTAATCCAAGTAAAGAACGACCCCAATTTCGTTGGCTAATTGTATGTGTCAAACGGTATAAAAGAAATGCATCTAGTGTATATGCCCGAAATCTCCCAATGGACAGAAACGAAGGGTTATTTAACCCATTTCCACTGTGCCAATCACTCCAGTCTCGTGTTCTGCAAGAAGAGAGATAACTAAAGCGACACCAAATCTAACTGATTTGATACCTCACTACGGAGACGCTCCAGGTGCCTATGCGGACGCAAAAATAATGTGAACAAAAGATATCTTCTCAGTGACCTTAGCAACTGAATGACGGATAGATAAGACGGGGAGGAGGCTGAACGGTACTGACATTGTAACAAACTGACAAGGTAGAAGACGCGGAACATTAGATTCGTACCGATATTTTAAAGTTGATATTTTGCTGAATGAATTTGCTTCTAAAAAAACGCTCCGGTAAAAGTCTACCAGCAATATGACACACTTTCGTTGGGAGACTTCATCTAGTCTTTAGTGGAACGAAATTGGCAAACCATCCTCTAACGCAGTTTACAAAAGACTAAGGATCGGATAAGACAGGTGAAGCACATCACAGACGAGGGAGCATGAAACTTAATGGATACCATTTCTACCTCGTAGGTGCATTTTAAAGTCGCAAATAGGTTGTCAGCAAAAAAATTCACCTAGGATAAGGCCAAGAACGCCGCTTAAAGGTAAAAGAAGGGTACGTAAAAATCAAGTATTTTTAAATGTGCACTAAATTCCGCACCCTTTTTAACTCATTGCCACAAGGCTAGGTCTATAGCCTTGAAGCCCTTCTATGAGCCTACAATTAACCTTTCTTCTTCATCGGTTGGATTTATTACGGCTTCGGAAAAAAAAACTAGGAGCCCTACATATTATACTTACGGAAAGCCAACGATAAAATCGGGGACGAAATTTCTCATTTCTGGAAATGTAATTTATCTATTAGAAAATCTTTTGGAAGAAACCCAAAATAGAGAAGAGAGATAGAAGAATTTAAGCCCATCCACATACATGATTAAAAGTTCTCAAGTTGATACATTTTTGCTGAAAGGAAATGTGCTTATAGCGCATTTTCCGCATGGATGTCGTAGATTTTGCTACACGACAGTGTCTTCAAATGGACATTCGCATGAGTCTCAAACCAAAATTTAAAAAAATAAAGGACGTTCGTATTGAAAAGGATGCTCTTTACCAATTTAGCAGCATAAAACGGCTAATTTTATCAGGGCATAGGCAAAACGACTGATGCAATTATAGAATCCAAAGCCAGAAAGTACTTTTCCTTACTCAATAATAGATATTGCAAAGAGTGACTTCCTATATTCTAAAATAAAGCTTCATAAACTCCCCACTTTTTAAAGAACCAAGAGTTTTATTCAAGTTTATCTTAATAATTTACAATGAGTTAGAAAATCCGCCTTTAGTTACTAGGATTCGAGTAAATTTTCGAGATAGCCCTGTCGTAGATGGAGAAAGGGTAATTATTAATCTAGGTACAAACGAAAAAAAAGCCTTCAGCAAATGGATTTTTTAAAAAAATAAGCAACCAAAACAAGTTATGTCGGTGCTTTCAATGTGTTCAGCTGCTAAGATACTTGAGTATGTGAATATTCCCGCAAAGTAGTCCCATTATACCATAACAGTACATTAGGTATAAAACGAATACTTTTTGACTTAACCAGGCATTGAAGATAAGCAGTAGGTTCACTCTTTAAATAACTTGTCAATATGTTATTTATCATCCATTTAAACGTTACCTCATTATCTGTAGTCAAGTTTCCCTTCGTCCATCTATGATACTCCAACCTTTGTACAAAGGGAATCCAACGGTATTTTCAGTTTGGCAATGTTCTATTATTTTTGAATATTCAGGAATCATCCTTTTCATTCTGTACTGCACCGCAGCAAAACGACAATTGCTTACATATATCTCCTGCGGATTCCACCACCATCCTGGTGGTACAAACATCCGTTCACTTCTAGTGCCTTGCACTTTTCCTCTACATTGCTGATAAACTATTATTCTGCATTGACGTACCTTCCCACTTTCACGAGGACGACTGAGCCCGCAAGCAATTAATGTAAAATTAAATATAATTTGACAAATAATTAAAGGACAATGAATTAGAATGGGGCAACTAGCACAGATACTACCATGAATTAGAAATGGAAGATTATTGTTGATACGAAGGTAGACTAATGAGAAGTTTTGCATCATTTTGTGTAAGATTTCAATGGAGATGAGAAATGCTCTAGACAAGTGCAAAATTGTTGCAAATTACTTATGTCACGTAAAATTTTTTTGGCATAACTAATTTTAGATGAAATTTTCTACTTGAATATTTGGATAAGTGGGTGATTCAGTAAATATAGCTATCGCTATTTCCTGAGTTCGGAAAAAAACGACACTCAGCTTATTTTCCAATAGTCAATGAAAAGTTTCGGAAAAGGTTTCATCTAATATCATTTTTTTATATTCCATCAGGATGTCTCAAATCAATTCTAAGGCTCTCATTCCCGCTTTTAAGATAAATTTATGTTGAATTTGAAGCGAGACCAGAAAGTTCATTTTAACACGAATGCCTTTGAGAGATTTCAGTAATATCTTGAAATATTAAATGTGGTGAAGCAGGGAGCTTACATCTCGAAGGGTAACGATATTAGGCACACCTTTGAACCGCAGAAGGATTTGAACCTCCTCCGTTGGATCATGCATCATTTCGTCGATAATCTGCAGACAAGAAAACAACTCAGCACCTATTTATTTAGCAACGAATGATCCGCAGAGAATTGTGTGTCCGGAGGTATTTACAGTAAGCCCTTGAGAGGAGCGTACCCACACACTGTTAGATCATTCTAAACAGTTACAGCGCCTGCCTCTTCAAAACTGGAACAGGCAACGGCGTAAAGAAGGTAACTGAACGAGTTAAAAAAGCATCAAGCTAGCACTTAAGAAAAATAAAAATGTTTTTTTGTCATGAAATAAAAAACCTCTGCACCAGCACAGGATTGATAAAAAGCTCATAAAAAGTCTTTATTATGTGCCGATAAAACAAAATATTAGGGTTTAATCAGAACTCGGGATATTTCATTAAAGAATGCACTCAGATATAGCCTTATCTTGTTAAGATATCCAAATACACAGAAAGTGCTTAAGGCATTCATTATGTCAAGATATTAACAGTATAAATGTGATAAGCAAGTAATAACTGAAAATGAGTGAGATTTGTAAAAAATATTATCAATTCCCCCCTATCTGAAGTCAGCCCACCATGCATTGACTGGTTTTTTGCTACACATTTAACCACCCACTTTAGAATTCAAATTTCACCAGGTAAAAGATGCAATGTTAACAATGAAGTAAAGTAACAGAGAATTTGTAACAGAATTCGTGGCATTAACTGCCATAAGCCTTTGAAAAAGCTTACTAATCTTACGTTCAAATGATGCAGCGCGTTTAGGTGATATAATTATTATCAACTTAGTCAAGCTGAAAAAACCTTGAAGTAGGAGTTGCTTTATCTTTCAATTGGATCTCTATGTAAATACGCTTGGGTCCAGACGTTTACCCTCATTTTAACATCAACAGATACTAGAAAAGGTCAAGTTTTATAAGCATGAATAAGTTATTTCTGATTCAGACATTCTGGGACTAAATCAACAGGACTGAGTAGGTAAAAGAATCGGACTTTTAGCGTGCTGAAAACCGGAAGTGGTACCGTCTGTAATTTGAGCCAGCTACAAAATGGATCAAGTATTCGAGAGCGGGCATTCGCATTCAATTTAAAATTCCCATAAAGGAGCCCCCCGGAAAAATTCCCTGGTTCCTATCACGAGAAATACGTAGAATCTTCAACAGTAATAAAAATTGACTTCAAAAAGCATAACATGCTATCTTACAACCATACTATTGCTAGAACATCAAGCACAAATAAGTGAGTAGCCTGAAAAATAACTGCAGCACTACGACTGCAAACGTAGACAAAAAAATTAGTTCGAATCCCAATAATCATAGGTATTTAATTTAGAAGACAAAACTAAGTGAAAATAGTCTCTTACCTTAACAGCAAATGTATTACCAGTCGAGATTTGTTTGCATTTGTAAGCTGTGGAATAAGATCCCTTCCCAATCTCCTCCAGAATTTGGTAGTCGCCAAGAAATTCCTTGAACTTAACACCGCTAATGCGCTTCAAATTGGAGCTGAACCGGGCCTTAGGGCCTAAAGGGAAGGGAATTAATAAATACACCTTGATTTAAAAAAGGAAAGCAGCATTGTGTTAAACCTGCTAGTAGTACCCTGCAGTCAACAGTGGTAGTGTGTGCATGGGGATGGGTACAGTGGCAAAAGGATTTTCTTGTGAATGAAGGTGCAACGCCTACGCATAATTGCATCACCATAAAAATTTCAGCACAGCACGATGATAGGATGCTCATCTACAGTGTCATGTGACTGAGACACGTTTCAGACTGGCGTGCGTCGCCTACTAATGAGCCGGCCCTGATGGTTCCACTCGTAATGCACAGCCTTGACATTTATCGCCGTGGATACCAAATTCAGCACATTGAACACTTAATCCTGGTCGACGCATAGCCTGTCGTGAAATTAAATAAGGGACGAGTCTTTTCACGGCGACTGCGAACACAATCATTTGCAAACATTTGCTATTTCGATAGCTTGGCGTACACTAGCCATCAAAACAGCAAAGCGGGCTGTCCAAAAATAGTTCAGCTGCACTAAAAAACTGTTCCATGTCAAAGCTTTGCACGCATTAGTTAAGCGCCACGGTAATATGTTGGGGTGGACTGCGTGTGTAGGAACATAACTGCATCACCCACAATTTGGAACTCAACCTTTTCTTTGACAAGGTCAAAGACCCTAATTTGATTTAAAAGCCCCCCCTCCCTATAGGATCGGGATAATTGCAGGTTGTTTGGTAAAGCGAGACGCGTGGATTTATGAGTAACCTCACAATAGAAAGCCCTCTCATTATTACTTATTTCGATGGATAAGAGCTCATTCGTGTGTTTGTTCAACACAGATAACTGATCAAGTCAAAAGCATTTTTTTGGATTTCCAATGCCGCTATAAAGCGCGTTCTTTTACAGCAATGACATTTAACTAAGTCACACAAATATTGTAACAATATATTTTGCTCATATTTTACTAAAAACTTAGTAGACGATCCGGCTTTTATGGATTCACCGTGAATTGCGGCAAAGAATGTATCCCGAGAACTAAAACCAATGGCCTCATGTTAAATTTCAAAAGGGTAGTCTAGTGGCCTAACTAAAGGAACCACAACTTCACGATAAAATCGCTGATGGAGTAGGTTTAAGGTTAAGCGAGTAAATAAATCATTTATTACTTCTCCCACGGAGAAACATGAGACGCAGACTTTGAGTTTTCGCATTGTTTCTTACGTTGTTACATCACATTATGAATTCGAGTACTTCGCTACTGGCTTAAAGTAGTGTAATAAAAGGCAAATGCAAATTTTCGTCACTCAAAAGTGACAATAATGACGGGACTTAGCCGTAAACACTGCTATATCTAAAGCCTTGATGCAAGACCGCTGTCACTTATATTTTCAAATGTAAATCAAGCAGATGGTATAGTACAAGCCTAAAAATGTTCCAAAAGGATTTCTAAATTTGTAATATATCTGACTGAGAGTGGATTCGATTTAAGTAATATCTAAAGGCATCTACTTACACACATCAGTGTGACGGAATTGAATTCCATCTGGCTGCCTGTCCATGAGGAATGGAGCCACGTAGCTGAAGCCACGAAAGAGTTCATGAGCTGAAGCACTAGGCGGCGATGCTGGTGAATCTATAAAGGAATAAATAAAGAATTTAAGATTGGAAAACCCGAAATATTTCTTTCATAAGCACTATGCAAGAGACCTTTTGGTGTCCTGTTGGTGTATTCCTTGTCGAAATTGAATGCCAGGTTGTCCAGCATGCAGGTGGGCTTGAACGGTGGAGTGATCTTAAGGTCAACAAGATCTGGCCAGTTTATCGGTAGGAAAAATTCATGGGCTTGCAACTTTTGGAATCCGTCTGGTCCGTATCCTGTAGAAAATACAATCATTGATCTTTTTCTAATGGGCCAAAAGTAAGGCTAAGTTTTGTAGAATGGCGCTAAATGTGATAGTCATTTGCAGAAACATTGAAGCACATTTACTTTCATTTGGCGCAAAAGCAGCTGCATTTGTTGAAACTGATTTATTTAATGCACTTCCGCACCCCCACGTGTTTGCATTTTAATCTTACAAATCACAGAGTAGAGGATGGGACTTCGAAAGGGTTTTGAAGTAGCCTATGTGTCCCCTGTCAAGCATAGACAGCGCATCCCACCACTTTTAAAAGAAAGTTCTGCTGATGTAACGTATTTCGCATACAAAACTGGACTGAGATGTCGAAATAAGAGAACGGAAACCTATTTATAATCTCGAATTCTTTTTGGGTCGATTTCTTTTGAACTCAACAAGCTGATTTATCAATTGTTTTGATGGTCCCAGCAACACCAGATCCATCTCACCACAACCACCTTTTTACTTTTATAAATCCTTAGCGCATAAAAGAAAGGAAGTGTATATAATAGCGGGTAGATTGCAGTAAGTAAACCAAGTAGAAGAAAGAGCCCCCTAGCCACACCGTTGGGAAGACTAAAGGCGCATGAAACACCCAGTCTTTATGTAATTTCATGAAAGCACAATGCCCAAGAGCATAATTCACATTCACAGAACAATTGTTCAGATTTACGAGTTTGTTTCTGGGAAATATGGGTTTGCAAGAACTAAACATTTGTCAAACAGTCGTTGGGTAGAGCGATGCATTAGTAAACAATTGTACTTAAAAATACGATTCTAAAATCATTTAGTTGAAAATCTTGACAAATTGGGTCACATTTGGTGATTAAGGGGTCAAAATTTATCTGGAGGCAAATTAATCAGAGCCAGATATAAGAAGATTGAGCATTTATAACGGTTGTGAAGTCAATTGAATTTGTTTAAATATTAATATTAAATTTAAAAATCACAGCCAAAACTTGTAAGGTTCGATTTAATCAAAAATCCGGCTTTTAGAACACTCTTTGAATTTCAAAAGATTTCAATTTATTCTTTTTTAAAAGGAAGCCAGAATTCTTGCTTTCATTTTAGTTCATATATGGTTTCAAAAGCTCCGACCAAGATCACTAGAATTAAACACAAAAGCATTAAAATGTTTCTTGAAAAGGAAATTAAGAATCCAAAAAGTGCTAAAAATCCTGGCTTTTGTCTTGGGCAGAGGAAAATCTGACTAGCTGAATGCCTCCCAACATCTATAGCGTCAAAACTAAAAATATTGCATCCTGTAACAGCGGAGCGGAGAGGACTGCAAGAGATTATTTGTTCCTATTCATCCGAAAAAGTTGTGCTGGAAGAAAGCATCCTATTTGATGTTTGTAATAACAGACGGATATGCTTTGATCACTCAAGGCTGGTTAAAATAAAGCATTAAAGAAAATAAGATGCTTCACATCACTAGAATGAGTTATATTGTCTATTTCAATTTGTTTTTGACTGGAAATGATAATTTGACCAAAGTTAATACCTTCAGCTCTTCAAAATCTGTGTGCTAGAAGATGTGGTGAGGCTAATCCAAGGTGAGAATTTCCGTTTCCACATCTTGGGGGTGAATAGGGGAGATTACAGTAACGGGATTTTATACAGAAGAATTTGCCACCAAAAGGAATAAATCCCTTATATGGATTCTTCTTAATCAAAAAAATTACGAATGCTGTTGTGGTCTTAAAATGTTCTTGCAGTCCACAAGATCTTTTCATTATCCCCAACTAATCTGAATTCGATTTTTCCATCCAGAAAATTCATTAATAGGGTTTGAAATAGGTCTATCAACATAAATGCTTCGAAAATATTTTCCACTTATGCCAGTTTTAATGATTCCTAAAACAACTACAAAGTGGCAAAGTTCCCTCAGAATAGAACGAAATGTTTTGCATCACTAAAACCCAGCAAATAATAAAGAGTGTCAAACCACAATCGAAAACTCTGTAGCCATAAAGTAAAAAAGGGTGGCGGAATCGGAAACTCCCTTTTGTGGGCAGGAGAAGTGATGCGGAGCAATAGCAATGAGGCATTAAGCCACAAATTCGGCATATTTTCACAGATCGTCACCGCGTTGCAGCATTAATGGGCGAAAATTACTGTGATGGGAAGCGGCTAATTTTTATTTGCTTTATAATCATAATCCTTTATATCACTCGGAGTCTATCTTTCATTGCAACGCACTATATCACAATCTCTAGCAGCTCAACAGTATCATTTGACAAAATACAAAATACATCAATTTCGGAGTTTATTTTCGCTGACAGTACGATCCGAACCCCCCCACACACACACACACTATGCATCAAACTTCAAGCACTGTCAGAAATTGACATCATGGAGGACTTTTGAGGTAAAAGTTTTTAAAAAAACGTATAATTGGAAGCAAAAAGGCGGACAAAAACTTTCTGTTGCACTTTAAGGAAGTATATTTTTATCCATCAGTTAGCACCAAATAGAAAACAAACAAACAAAGGTAAATGTCCCTAAAGTAGAGTTAAATAAACTAAAAAGAAAAGCAGAATATTGTGTTTATTTTAAAGTGCGATTCCACCACCCCAAAAGTACCTTCAGATAGCATCAGCATTCGAAGGGATTTACATTTAAACATCAGAGAGAAGTAGCAAATAATGCTCACTGGTAACTCACCCAGACGATTGGATGGTGTTCTTTTGAAAAGGTGTCGCAAGAGACTCTGTGCTCCAGGGCTCAGCATTTGGGGCATTTCAAGCTTTGCTCTAAATGAATAAAAAACAGCATACAAATAAAAAAAACGGTTGAAAAGATGACGGCTTATTTTGGTTACAAAAAATGAGAGCGCCTATTTGAGATGTTGACACACAGATGGTTCGGTGATAACGACGTGCACAAAAATCAGCACAAAAGTGCAACGTGAATCGCACTAATTCATGAATGCTTGGTCCAAGAAAATCATTTGCTAAGAATCTAAGTAGCAGTAGAAAAGAAAAATTCTGTAAATACTAGATGACCTTTTTAGTTAACGTCAATGGAGCATGTCTCATAGACAAGCATATCACTTTCAATTGTCGGCTTCGGGTGGATGAAATTGAATTATGCCAATTGTAGCTTGCACTGGAGGCCAGTGGACCCGCACACCAGTAAAAGATAAAAAAGCAGTCATATGTATCACTAAGAGGTATTTCAGCACTCAAATATCCTTTTTTTTTCACACAACTTGATAAGTAAAATTCGTAAGCCGTTAATGGAAGGTAAAGTTACAAGGCGATGTGCATGGAGCGTAAGGAAGCTCTTTGACAACACCTAATCCAGAAAACAATGCTGAAATGAAATTTTATTTGCACATTTTTCTGCATTTCGCCACTTCGTATTGAAGCTGATCCTACAAGAAGTGTGCTAGACTCGAACTTTGGAGTTTACAGATTTTGAGGAGTATGAACTATTTACTTTGCCATTTACGTAGGCCACAAATTCACAAGTACACTCATCCCACCATTAAAGTAATACTTTGACAGCTTCAAAATGAAAAAAATCCTGTCTCTTTCACTTCGATTGTCTAGCTCACTAAAATGTGTTAGCTGTTCGAGATTTCAAACGTTCATGCGTGGTTATCTTGCATTTACTGATTACAAACTAAAACCCTAACGGAGCTACAGCAGGTATCACCATTGGCTTCCCGTCTCTGAAATGCCAATACCGTCAAACCCTCCTACTACTAGGCGGCTAACAACCTACAGCCATACCGTTTCCGGAGTTTTCTGCTGATGCCGGTGGGGTTGGTCTTTACGATCTCACACGTGGGAAACCGCTTTCATCACCACACCTTGTTGCAAGCACGCGCTAACCCCGTGATCTGTTATCTTGATCTCCAGGCTGTCTAGACCGGCATGCCTACTATTTATAAAACATGCCGCATCTGCGGAGGCGGCATCTCTTGTTCACGGATGTTAAAGTCCATTTTGGAACAAAGGCTTCAGAATATGATATACAACTGTTAGCTCATAAACTGTCTCATAAATAATGTGACAACGCACGCTCGATATTCATAAATGACGTGCTGATCTAGGCAAAGCAAAAGCCGTCCTGTTTTAATCATTTGTGATTAACTGTAATCAATTTAAATTTCTCATCACATAAACGTACAGCTTTTTGCAAAGAAAACATCATGATTATAATCGTGCTGGAAATTCAGCAGCAATTTTACAATATCTTGAGTCTCTCAACTTTTACTACCTTCATAACAAGTTCCCTTCCATAGTAATGTATCTTGTTAGATCTGACGTCGCTTTTCAATCCAAAAATACAAAGTAAAATCAGAAACGCATGGAAAGAAACCAAGAAATCAGATAAAAGGAATTCAAAAGCTCAGAATTTTTTGCTACCAAGTGATCCCGCATGGCCTGAGTTTAGGATTCACACTAAACCCGCCTCTATTTTCTGCCTAAAATAGTAGTTGCATTAGAAGAACAAAGTTGACGTAACAACTTTTTCTTGGTAAAAACTAGTAAAACGGTTTGACATATTGGCTAAATGAAAGTTTTTTGAGAAAAACTGAAGGCATTTCGTGAACAAAGTATCAGCACCAGTTACTCGGTTTCACACTTGGGGAAAGGGCATTCTTCATCCAGGTTTGACAGCCATCATTCGAATCCTACCCTTCTAATTTCAGGTATTACAAGTCATTTCTCATTAAAATTAATACCTTTTCATTATGTTAGCATTGCAGAGATCTACAGTTATTAACGAATACATCGCAGAAAAGACAGCTGAATGTATTAAAACTAAGCGACTAAATTTACTTTCTTATTACTTGTTTGGGTTTTAGCAAAATTAACCTACGTAAAAACCATAAAGTCAGTTGGTTTTATCAGAAGAATCCCTTTATGAAGTAGAAAGCATGTCCCTCGGTATTCAACTCGAACGGGACATATAAAAAATTAATACAAATTTTTGCACAATTTGAGATTTTAAAATAGAAACTCGGGCTAATCGGAAGCTTTGGGGGGAGGGGGCGGTGATTGCGAAATTTGAGTGACATTGGACATCGTGGTAGAAGTCCAGTGCACGCATGAGAACAAATTCTGCCAACAACGTCAAAATAACCAAAATAAATCCTATGTTTCCACTTGAGAAGAACCATCTTACAATCGAAACTGAACTATGTAGCTAGTCAACAAAATAGGGCGTAACTATCTGCTATTCTTTAAATAACAATAAAATGTGGACGGGACCCAGCAAACACTTGTAAACATAGAATGATTTATGTGTATTGCAAAAATGACTAATGCGAACAAATGACCTCAAGGAAATACCATACAACCTTAGCAATGTAAATGGGCAGCGGTGATTCATGCATTGGATAGCTAGATCGCAAAATATTGCAGCGATTTAGGGAATACACGTTTAGAAAAACATGCGCGGTTCTACGAGCAATGCTTGCATCTATAGGTACGAAGTTTGAAAAGACATTCAGTTGCCTAAACGCTGAGATCGAATAAATGAGTGGAAGTATCCAAGTTTAGACAGCCATGGAAAAAACAGCCGAAAACCCAACTTAAAAAGGAGTTAAAAAAGCTTTCTAGAATAAATAAAGAACGAGGAAATCATATTTTCGCGGTCGAATGTGTAACTTTAACCTAAACTAATCCTGAAGATAATACCATAGAAAGTAACTGCCATATTTGGCCAATCTTTATCTTTTTTCCATTTACATCTATAACCATAATTAGCAGAAATGAAATATTTCGCCAACGGCGATGTCCATTTTGAGTAGCTGTTAGAAAATATGTGCTCCCAAGAAAGGCCTTGTGGCATCGCATGGTTTTATACCTGATTTCAGCTTGAAGGCGATGGCAGCCAAGGTCATGATCCGGTAAGGTGACGATCAATTGATCTCCTTCTCACATCACGGATACAAAAGCTATTGTTAAGCAACTAGACTAGTAGTACTCGACAAAAGAACTCTAAAATTTCAAGAATTTCTTGGTGTTTTGCACTCTGGAAATGTAAGGCCCTCTCAATGGTGCACTTCGGCCATTCAATGATCGAGGAAAGGAAAAATTAGATTAATTATTAAATCATGATCAAACATTCGTGGTATGTTACTTTCAAGTCTATATCAAAAAACGAATTCATATGGCACTTAAAGAGTCCTTTACATGGTGAAAAACTTTAGGACATTCAGGCGACCCATGCAGGCAAAGATTATGTCAGATCTTGAATCAGTAAGGAAAATGTACTGTGTGTGAAGGATAACGAGCTGTTAGCAATCCAAACTCAAGAAAATTCCATAAAATTTAGTATTTGTCACGAACCACAGTGCGCTGGCACTATGGTAAAAATAAATGCCAAATGCTCACTACGCACGTGATTCTTCCATTTATTTCGGTTAAGCGGAAAGTACAGAGCCGGTGGAGGAAAGCATGTCCGTTATCTTTTACAGCTACAAAGTGACCCGGTTAAAAGGTCACACTCGTAAGCTTTTTGTATCTAAACCATCCTATTAAAGGACTCGAAAGTGGGAAGCAATTTGCGAAACAAAGTGCAAATGCCAATGATGAAAGCCTTGTATATCAATCAAATGTTTTTAACCAGTTGTTGTTGAAGTAAAACGGGATAAATAAACATTTCGTACGAACAAAAAACACAAGCCTAACCAATGAAATTGAGGAAAAAACTGCTTTTAGTAAACCTGTTAAATTTTTTTAGGGCAATCTGAGGCAAATCTAAAAATACCAATTTTACGGGCAAAAATATATTTTTCCTAGAATGCGTAATTAAGTCATCAACTTTTAAAAAGCCACAAAATTGCTAATTCCCCAAGGAGTGATTAATTTAAAGTAGCATTCCCCTTTTTGTAATCGTCCAAGCTTATATCTACAATCATCAACAGATATGGCCGCGATTTCTCCACAAATTTTTGTCAATTTCTAGTAAACATCTAAACTATCACTTATAAGGTGACCAGAAATCTTATAAAATGGCATAATGTATTAAAATATTATAATTTAGGGTTTTAAAATACGATTGTCTGTATGTCGATCTAGGGATACAGCGGTTTGTACTGCGGTCTTACTTTTTTTTCCTTTAATTTCGTTCTTTACACCTTCTTTCGAATGACCTAGATGGCAGTAATTTAAGCTTGTCTGCTCCACAAATCAGGTCAAACTCGGCCTCAAAGCTGCAGAAAAGCGTAGTTCAATTTGCATAACATATGAATAATGTGTATCCGTGGAATTTACCACCTATTTTCAATGGGTTTACAAAATGCGATTTTGGTGACGAGCTAAAGATAGACACATCAGATCCAGACTGACCTCCTGCACTTGATAACCGTGAAAAATCAGGTCACTATTGCCACGTTGAGGTAAGTTCTGACTAATCCGCCAATAGCAACTTTCCGTAATGTAATTGTTTAACGTAAGTAATGACGAAAAACCTCGTTAAAAAACCCATTAACTAGAAGAGGAGGCCAAGCAAATACGTGCCATATGCATTTACATAGGGCAATATGGCACCAGAACTACCAACTTGTTGGTCTACAATTCTTTAATGCATATCATAAAAGCACCTGTTTTCAGTGGTATGCTGACTAACCGATTTGTGAGAGGAAATAGGTTTTAGTTTGCAAGGCTCATAAAGCGGAGTAACAAAAGTATTTGCTATTTCTAATGATTCTCCATTCTGAAATTCCGTGACACCAGTTTAGCACTAGAAGATTACGCTGGGTGTGTGGATGGGAGACTGTAGCCGGGATATTTCACTTGCTGAAGGTCAAATGAAAATTGTGGTTGAGACATATCAAGTCAATATAAACCAAACATGAAACGGTCAGGTCTAGTCGTCCGAAAGTATGTTCCATTCTCATGGGTTGCCGCACATTGGTATGGGGGAAATTGATACCTTGCTCATAATTTGCCATGTCATGCTCCTTACCTTGGTGTTAAACAAGCGTATGCAAAATAGACATAAGCGAGATAGTAAGGAAGATAGTTAAGGCTAGGTTTTTGACTTAGAAGGTAGTATATTTTGCAAGAGGAGTTCGTAGCAAGCCCATACCTTATCGTAACGGTATCATATAGCATTAAGATATTTTAATGAATAAAGTGTTTCAAGGAGGCTTCCGGAGTTTTCTTCCTTTTCATTATTAAAAAAACCGCCCAAACCTATTTTATCACCTTGTCCATAGCATTCACATTATTAGAATTATTTTAAAAAGTAACTACGGCGGTATCAAATTAAACCGACGCCTACTTTCGCTACAGTTACAATAGTAATGCCCATTTAAGTGATTTTTTAACCCCAATACATTTTTTACTTAATAAAAGATTATGAATAGTGAATAGAAATGTGATTTCCAAAAGCATCATGTTGGTAACGTCGACTTAATCAAAAGTATTTTCCAAACTAAGTGAGTTTATTCATGATGAATGAATTTTATGGCAGCATTTTCCGATTTATTCTTAAGTTACTGCGATCAATTGAGCACCGGCATATAAAACAGCTTTTACGACAAGCAATGTGGACTGCTTATGTCTGACGACTAAGAAAAGGGGTTAAGTGAGTTTATCAGTGCCATTAATGTCTGTGTTTCTAAAGTTTAAATTTTGTCAAATATAGCACTCTTGTATGTTAGACCTTAAGTAATGGAGGACAAAGTTCAAGCGCTGTTTCGGTAAAACGGAACTTAGCAAACACTCGGTGCATAAGAACTCCAAGTGTTCCACGTAGAAATACTCCCACTTTGTAGTTCAGCCAATTAAAAACTCAAACTTCCATAAGAAACCGTTACCTTTTCAATCTGTTATCAGAACTAAGTCCAGAAATGCGTAAATTAACGAGTGACAACTTGCAATAAATACTCAGCTTAAGTAAAGTGAATAATACAATTTTCAAATCAATTCTAAGCTCTGTGGAGTGAAGTCTCCCACCCGTTAATGCGGCATTTCGCTTGAAATCCTCGGAAAATCCTAAAACATTCTAGCTTCCTGCCTTAAATACACTCAAATGCCTTTTTTGGATAAGCAACGAAAGATGATTGGAAAATTCCTAGTCTCCACCCGGTTTGGCGTTGGATTAAACGAACAGTTATTTGACAAACAAATGAAATTTCTCATTCATCCGACATCAATGTTGTAAGATTTTCCAAATAGTTAAGCTCAAATCCAACAATTCAAGTGTTGCCTTGTGGGATAGGGAGCCCTTTTTGTCAAAAAAAATACCAGCCAAATATTCCCGGTGGAAAAGCAAAGCAAAAAATTTCCCAATATATCAATCAGGGTCATAGAACAATTGAAATGGAAATATGAACATAAACCTTGAAAAACAGACCATTTTACCAAAGAAACGACGGCTTAATTCCACTAACGGGGTTTTTCCAAGCGTAATTACAGCATTCATTCAAGGAGAGGTCAAATGATCAAGCAGGAAAGTCAGCTTTGAGTTGAATGATCCTGGAATAACTGCTGATCTATATCCCCAGAATGATTAAGCTTTATTGAATACCTTACTGCAAGAAAGTAAAATGGTGAGGATTTGGGAACCATTACTGCAAAAAATATGAATCGTTCTGAACATTACTCTTTCCCTTTGAAATTCACGGGATGGATAAAATACAATTGCCTACACGATTCTGCAAGGCTTCCATAACATCCTAATGTAAACATTTCATTGTGCCAATGCATCAAATCATAGCTCCATCATGAATTAAGCTAGATTCTTTAAACCAATTGCAAGGCGGCTGAAGAATAACTTATTTCATTTGCTCCTGGTGAAATCGTAATTTGTGTATTCTGCAGTTGTAGGAAGTATCCTTTAACCGGAAATGCAGCGTGTGAAACCACGTGTAACTGACTTCGCTTTTGAAATGGACTTCACAATGCTACATATCTTTGGCAAAAAATGACTATTGAAGTGTTAGTGATTTGGAAAATAAATCCTGCTTACAATAAAACCGCAGTAGAGGGAAGGGTGTTGCAGATTTTAAATGAAATTTTTATGAGACGCTTCAAATAAGCGGCATCACAAATAAGTAGACGTTAGAAAGTGGATAATGAAAGAGGAGGTACTCTTCACGACAGTATTAAATAAGTAAATAACTCCATGAAAATGTCGTCATATCTTCGAGTGAAAGTACAAACTAAATCCAATTTGGGGAAAAGATTACAAACCCAAAGGTTAGAACATTAATTTGTCCCTAAGTCAATCAGAAATACAGTTTCATTTGATCTCAAGAGGATTTAAAGCAGTTAAAGTTGATTAAAATCTCAAGTATGTATTTGTAAAACAGTAACCCAGCTTGAGGGGATTAATCCCAGAAATCTTACAGCAATTTATAACTTCACCCTATTTTACAAATGCAGAAAAAGGTGTTTTAAGTTTGTCACTTATTTGTATACATAAAATATGCATTTCCGCCCTTGAGATAACTCCATTTTGCTCTAATGTGTGCCTGCTGGATTAGTTTATAAATTCTTATGGCTGTTAAAACCTGTAGGCTTTCATCAACCCCCTTCGCCTGTAGAGAAACCACAACTCAACTCAGAGGAAATTATTTGTACTTACTTTTTGGTAAATTTGGTCACTTAGGTTCTACGTAATTCATTTGGTTCAAATGAAGCATTACACGACGGTACAATTCCCCCAAAACATATTATCACATCCATTTCGCCATACGACCGCCCTATTTGTTGACAAAAATGGCACGAAGCCCGAAACGATCTTTCACGATTTGCTACTTGAATAAATGATAAGCTTGTTTGCTTAGTTTTGGACGAAAGAAAGAGCAAAGGAATTTTAGTCAAAAAGCTAGATTACTTTTCACATGAATTTTGGATGATTTGCGCCAAAGGCAAGTAATAAGTAGACTACAGAATGCGCTAAAAAAAATCTGCTAGTGAATGATGAGATATTGCGCAGAACCACGGCCACGAAAATCTTATAAAGGTAAAGGAGGCAACTCACTTCATAATCTGTGACATCGTCTCCTTTTTCGAGTCAGCATGAAATGGCAGTGTACCAGTAAGCATTTCATACATGAGAACACCAAAGCTCCACCAATCAGCAGCCGGACCGTGTCCGCGACGGGTGATGATTTCAGGCGCCATGTACTCCACAGTTCCGCAAAAGGAGTAGGACTTGGAGCCATCTGAGCCGTCGTAGAGTGCCTCCTTGGATAAGCCGAAGTCTGTCAACTTAATATGCCCCTCCTCCGTCAGAAGAATACTAAAGTAGATGAAATTTTACTTAAACACGTCAATTAAATAAAAAAATCTGTTCACCCCAATTTATGACTAAAGAATGGATTTACCTTTGAATGATAACAGTGACACTGCTTCAAATGGTAGCAAATTTGCCGGATATGGAACATGACAACGCTTTATTAAGACAATTTGCGAAACTTTTGACTATTTCTAAGACATCGTCAAATCTTCCTGCTTAGTGAAAAAGTGCAAAAGTTGTGAAGCAGAACAACCAAAAAACGCTTGAAGAATCTCTTAATCTTAGCAATAACAAATTTTATTGCAATCTTGATCAAGATTGAAAGAAGTGATAGTAGCACCATGTCAACATGTCAGTTGTTCTTCTTCAATCAGAGAGAGAATTTATTACCTTAATCCCGTTTGAAAGCTTTAATTTGGTAAAGAGACAAAATAGGATTTTACCGCAGATCCTTACCGCCATATAAATTCGTGCGCATTCTATTAAAACAAATGAACGATCTCAGAAAGTTTCATAAGTAATTCATGTGCCCCAATAGTCACCGTTCTGACGAATAACTCCTTCTTGAAAAACACGAGTCTGATGGGAATTAACGTAACGTGATATATTTCATCCCTACGGGAAAGAGAGTAGCTTTATCCACCCCCGCTTCTGCCCTGCTCTTGTTTTCGAACTGCCTATCCCTTATTGACGAAGCACGATTGTAATCATCAAGTGACAGGGTAATTTTGAGAGAATATCTGGATGAGGATAAGGCATTCTCTAGACTTTAGATCCTAAAAAGCCTAGCCTTTCGAAGGAAAGATTCGCAAAGGGCAGGGGCTAGATCTTCTTCCCCACTAACTGACCAGCCCTGCCCATTTCAAAAGGTACTTTCCTCTTACATGTTGGAGTTTAATTAAGTGGATATGCATCAACCGCAATGCCCTTTGGCCATCAAAAAGTAAATAATTCCAACAACAGTCGCTATACAGTTGAGGAAATAAGTGAGTCTTTCAACAGTGTTCCTGCTCACCTAATAAATGCCGCGATACGAAGACCCTTCCCTATCGCAAGTCGAAGTGCAATCAAAGGAGCGCGTTTTTATAACTCACGTAAAAGAATTATAAAACAAATTAATAGTCTTAAAGGCATATTATCAATACGTTAATGCTTATGGTACGCAGATGTTTAGATTCCCTTCTATAAATCTCCCCCTCCACTTAATAAATTGTTTTGCAATCACTTGTGTTAAGCATTTACACCACGAAAGGTTGCTACTGACACGTTAATCTGACGTGATCTTAAAGTGGCATTAGTAACACTAGATTTTCCATCGTTATCTAAAATGAGAGTTCCTATCTCAACGCATTACATCCATCGTTAGTTGATTCATTGCCAGAACCGTATTTTAAGAATAATTCAAATCTAGACGACAGGTTCCACAAACTAACGCCCATCTACGTCTCGAAAACATATGGACACTCGCATGCCCATAAGCTGCCACAAATCAGCGCAGCAAGCTCTACCAAAAAGCACAAATTTTCGTCGTTACCTGGTAGCCATGTAAAGAATACGCGTTTTAAGATGGATAAATTGAAGCAGCTGGTACTCCAGTAAAATGGGATAAAGCAAAATTGGAGCATTAATTACATAAGAGTAGGAGCCTCTAGATTACCCTGACATGCACAAGTGGGCGGATGTTGCACAGGGTTAATTATGAGTTGCTGAAATGCACTATTAATGAGAAGCAAACAGATTTGACAAGTCATCCAGAGTTCTTCCACTAAATTCATGCGTCATGTAAAACAGCCATGAGCATAAAAAACCCGCAACAAGGCTAGATTGTTTCAGGCTCATTTTAAAAAATTGCTAGGAAGGGGTCCAACGTAAATAAGTTTTTGGAAAAGCAGGGGAGTTTTAACGCAAGGGGTTAATGGAATGTTTTTAACATGAATGACTTGGTATTTTCAGAAGATATTACAGCTTATAAGAAATTAAGACGCAGCATCTAGTTGTCAAAAGAAGAATAATATTTTAGGTAAAAAGTAAGCTAAACTGGAATGCTAATGATCATTAGAAAAAAGGGGTATGACAAACTTTAGCTAGGGTTTTTTAAGCCATAGTAGTTAATGGAAATCTGCAAAAACTACTGTGCGCGTATTAGTGCTTAACATTTCGAAAAAAAGCTACATTTTGAAGTAAATCCCGAAATACTGCACCATTTCGCAAGGCTTCAGGCACATCGAAACCGACGGATAAAGGTGCTGCTCAGTAATAAATAAAGTTTCACTCTCAACATGGAAGCACAGGGGAGTGTGCATTGGGAAACTTCAGGGACAAACTACAAATAGACAAAGATGAACAGGCGAAAACCAAATGCGCCTGCACTTAAAAAGTAGCAATTTAAGATGTGGGGGCTAAATGGAGACTTCTTAAATCCCAATCCCGGTTTCGCAAGGAGTTTGGTTAACCAACGTCTTTAGTGGTGGTTAGCCTGACCAAGGCATAGGTACCGAAAAGCGAATAGGCAGAAAATACGCTACAAATGAGAGGAATTAAGGCCTTCCCACAAATTAGTGTTGTGAGGGAATCCAAAACGTAGACATTAAGATTTGAACTTATTAGAAGTTACAATGTTAAAATGATTTAGTGTTGTCAAGAACTTTCTAAATTTTAGTAAGTAGAGATGAACATTCAAGAAGTAACTGCCAAAAATAAACGCCTAGAAGTGGATGACCGTTTCAGCATCATCCCCCAAAGAAGCATTAAAAAATAATCAAATGTATCCCAGATTTCAATAATCGTATATAAGGTGGATGAACATGTTCGAAGACCACATTTTTCACTGAAATTAGTTGGTTAAGTAATTTCAAAGTATTTGGACGCTCTATTCACATTTTTACGCGCCAAGGGAATAGAGCATCTGTCAAATTCTCAGTCCTAATTTCGCTCTCCAAATTCTTCCATCTCGGGTAAAATGACTAAATCTATACATTGAAGACTCCTAAACCCTATGTTCTATGAGGTAGAAAATATGAAGGTATGCTAGGTGAATTATGGGTACAATTGTTTATTCACTAGATATTAGAAAGGACTTTAGATCCATCGCCGCAACATGAAAGATGCACAAAAGCATTATCCAGACTAGTAACAGTGTATTTCGTTATTCTATTCTGTCGGTGTAAAACGATGCTGCCAACTGACTGCAGAAGGTACACCTGATACGTAAAAATATAACCTTTATGGGGTATACAAATAAAAAAAGATAACAAGGGTTAATAAGTATAAGGGGGGCAAGGTGAAGAGTGCTTACGCTTCCGCCCTAGATGGCGCAATGCGATTTAGTTTTTGGCAAAGTACATTCAATTACATGGGTGCCAGCCAGGAGCAGAGTAAAGCCTCAAGTCAAATTTATGGCAAGTGCATCACCTTATATGTGATCAGAGCTGGATGCTACAAAGCGTGTCGCAATTTTGTGCTGCCTACACGCCAAGATTAGAGTGAAGATGGTGCCTCAAAATGGGCTGATTGCGAAACATGGTGTTTCATTTTGGAGTATGGATGAACTTGAAGGGATTTTCGTGAATCCGTATGCATATAGGAAAAATAAATATGACAGCACTCAAGTCGAGGAGTTCTCCTTATTGTTTCTGTTGCAGAGAAAATATAGAAAGGTGGTTTTTTTTATGCGAATTCACCTCAAACACGATTTTCTGAGAAAGCACTATAAACTCGATAAATTGGGTAGGAATAGCCGATTTGTTCTTAAAATACTATCTAGCCCAGCCATTTTCGATTCTTTAAAAATGTTTAGGTTGTCATATTAGCATGCCCTAGAGGCTAATTCTATCAAATGAATGTTATGTTTTGGCCAATCCATCTACTACAGCGTTATTAATAAGCTGCTAAAATTCAAAGTTCTTGGTGAGAAGTACATCAGTTCTCATCCGAAGGTAGAGAACCCCAAAGTTCCTCGTGTTTTTTTTTATTTTATAACAGAAAAAATGCCCTAGGTATTCTTCATTTCTTGTTCACTTATTTCAAAAAATGGAGGCACCATTACATTTGAAGCATAGGTGTCGAACAATTGAGACGGTCTACTAAAGTACAATCAAACCACCTTAAAAAATGACTGTATTTTAAACAAAAGCTCATCTAACAATCATTAAGGATTGCCGAAGAGTATGCTCTTTTACCTTCGCCAATTAAAGCTCTAAACTCAGATGGCACACATGACTAGGCGGATAAATGAAAGCAGTAGTCGAATGGATGGATGAATGAAATGATGTATATACCCTGAGGTGTCTACATTAGACACTCGCTATGCTACATGCTCCTCTAGCACACAAGGTGTGAGGCTATACGTGTGTCTTTTACATGTTTGATTTTGTATGACCGCGTACAAACAAGCATTGATGATGCAAGGCAGTTGCAACCTAATGCGGTAGGCGTTAGCAGGTTTCTTGTCTCTTCAGTCCGCGTCAGGCAAGGGTTTCCGTCAGAAAGAAGATGCCGCGTATGGTAAATCATGCGTCTACTTTAAGATCTTTATATAATGAATGAGGATACAACCAAGCTTATAATTAAACCAGCAGTTACTTTTGCTTGATAGAAAAGTGTCGGTTAGAAATAACATTGCCATCAGCATCCTATAAATACATTATAAGGTCTTGGACTTAGGCCGTTTCGTAATAACATAAAGCATCGACACCCCTGCATATTATATCTTCTAAATTGATAATGCTAGCGCGCAAGTTTACTTCAGTTATTAACGATGTGTTTCCCACTCCTGCCTTGTTGCATTCATTTTGCGAAAAAAAAAAACGCAGTGACGCATGGCTAATCTATTCGGGCTGTTGAAGTGGAAAACATATTAAAGGGGATTGACTTGAATTACTTAAGAAGTAGTGTCTAGAGCACAGTGCCATAAAAAAGAGTGGAAAATCCCACAAATTATGCAGACGTATCTAACAACTTCTGATGATACTAGGTAAATATGGCATTAAAGATCATAAAAGAGGGACAAAATGCCAGTTGTAGCATGAACAGAGCGTAACGGAAAGAGTTGCTTAAAAAACATACTTTTCTGGTTTGAGGTCGCGGTAAACAATACCAAGATTGTGAAGATGATCAATGGCAACGGCGATTTCAGCCAAATAAAACATGACGTCCTCTTCCGTGAACATGAGCTACAGCAGCACAAACACAAGTAATATTAGGTTAAGTTTTGTATGCAGATTTGAACATAAGGAAGGTACCTCCTTGGCGAGCCGTGAAAACAAATCCCCGCCCTTAACAAATTCCAAAATGAGGTAAATTTTTCCTTCGGTTTGGAAAGCTAAAGTCTTAATTACATGAAAACTTAGTCGAACCATAATTTAGGCTGACAATAAATGGGTGTTTCATCCTAGCCAGTATATCGCGCTCAGTTTTCGAACGCATCCGATCCTTAACTACAAGAAGTCAGCAATCACAACAAAACAAACCTTTAAGCACAGCCTTCTTTAACACTTTCATTGCGTACACCGTCTGACTATCCTTGCCATTGATCTTCTTAACAAGAAAAACCTACGAAAATATAAGCTCGTAGAGATAATATTTCCACCTTTCCAAAGGACCCTTGGCCAATAATCGAGAGAAGCTCAAAGTCAGCTGGAGATACTTTCCCATCACTGACTTTTAGAGATGCTATGTCAACCTCTGTCTCGTTGTCGTCGCAGGGCTGTTAATCATGTCAACAATGTGATGTATTTCAATTACCTGTTTGTCGTCCACATACTCTCCAATTGAAACCAACTAGAAACACTCATTATTTTCTAAAAGTACTATACCCCCTTCTTTTTGTCGTCCGGGAATGGCTCGATTAATGGAGCAAGAGGCATATTTTCCACGACTCGTTAAGAAAAACGTGGCTCCAAAAATCGCGCCTATTAAATCAAATCAAAAATTCGTTTATGTAAACAAATTTTAGGTAATATTGTGCAATGAAAAAGGCGCTAAAAATACAAACAGAATTAGAAGTTACTAAATAAGATTTACAATGATTTAATGTTGTAGTATTCCTAGCTTAGTGATAAAGGCAGAAAGGACGAGTGCCTAACCAGAACGCTTTTTATTACCAAGGCAATGGTCAGGGTTTTGTCTCCAAAGTTCCTATGCTAAATTATATGGTCCGCAAATGTTTTGCAAAAAAATTGGCAATTACTTCAGCGTCCCAAAACCCCCTGAAGACCAAAGAAGACAAAGTACTCGGGCAGAATACATACATTCAGCACGGAGAAGGTGTCTGGGCTATTGGCTTGGCTTAAAAGGCCAGCCCACCCAGCGAGGTACTTTTGTACAAAGTACAAAAGTAGCGTTTTACCAGCACTGAGGGATAAACCACTATCGTATTACATTTACAGTGTTAGTTAGAGATACCTTTTGCATAAATTAATCTCATCATGTAAACAAGCATCCTTTTTTGTAAATAGAAGCTCCATGAATATTTAGTGTACTGACATATCTAACATAGTTGTCCCCAACTCCTTTTCTTAATATGACTTTGATAAGGCATACGAGACATATTTAAAATGTCAATTTACTTGTTTAACTGACATTTCAAGCTACTTCATCCACAATATTTTCAGCGACTTCTCCTCCTACTTACGAGTTTCAACTATTTGGTCTGAAAGACTGAGTAGCAAAGGTCAAAATATGCTGCAATAATGTAGCACCTTACAAACTTGTAAGGATTCTTTGGTGGAATTGGTAGCAGTCACCTCTTCGTGCATTGACGGCGCATTCCCAGTCTCTAAATTGCTGCAGTTATCACTCTCTGCGTCTAATAGGTGTATTCATGTAACCGTATATTATATCTATATCTATTTTGACTTTTTTAAAAAGGATATCTTCAACCATATTATGTTTGTTGGCGATTTACGTGAGGTATGCCTGCCCTGTTAGAGCCATTAAATAAGCCCGTAACTTCAATATTTGTCTCAACAACCACTCCGTCCATCCCATCACAGTATAGTTTGTCTCTGAAATGCCAAATCACATTAATCCAAGCAGTTTACGCCTTTTATTCCAGCCCTTACATTTTTTGGTAAAGTACATTTATATCCGTACCCAATTACTCTGGTCCCAGTAATGCAAATCGTATCTCACCAAACAGTTCTTGTTCTTCATTTTTATGAAGTAAAGCACAAGAGTAATAGAGATCACTGCGGGCTAGTTTTGCACCTGATAAGGCTCTACAGATGTACAAAATAATTTTCACAGGAAAATTGAAGCAGTTGGTTCGCGTACTATTTCCCATAACTGGTATGAAGTGCCTTGTGGAAATAAGCGACATTAAATAGTAACGCCCTGAGGCCTTTCTAAAGACGTCGGAAGGCATAATACCCGGAGCGAATGCTTTTTTCGACGCACAGAAGGAGTAGGGTCTACTGGCCTACCCCAAAGATTAGTCTGCCCGTAAATGGTACGGTGGCTGAGCCCCTAAGTGGCCCGTTACCGAAATCGAGAGTAAAATGCATAATTAGACCATTACAACTTGCAAAAAATGACTGCTTTTTATTGAAGCTTCGTGATGAAATTCATTTGTTGTTTTTCCTATCAAGCTTACCTTATTCATTAGTGTACCAAGTATCTCCACCATAACATCATGCAATTTTCACATTATCTACTTGTTAGAAAGAGAATTGAAGAGAAAAAATCGTAAAGCTTACATATGATTAATTTCTCTACTTCTAACTATGACCTTAAAAGCGCATACCATTTCAGTTGGTTCAAAATTTTAAATTCCTTCTCATAAATCAAATACACTGGCATTTTAGAAACGCAGCTACGGAGTTACACAAATTGTGTTTACGTTGAAGATGAAAACTTAATAACATGACACCATGTGTATTTAGAAAATTACGGATTTGTTGAAAGAGTTATGCTTATTACTGACCAGGCAATGCAAGAAAGATGCAGTTGTTCACTCGCCGTTGCCTTAACATCGTGTGTCCTTCAATATCATTTAGAATGTAATGTGGTAATCACAGTTAAAATTACTTCTTTCACTAAGCTTGAATCACAGGTTAATCCCAAAAATCGGTTTGTTTTGGGAAATAAATCGTGTTTGGAATCATCGAATGCAATTCATCATGGATCGGTTATTTATTTTCCATTAGAGGCGATATTAATTTCCCTGGAAACAACTATTTATAGAAAAGGTTGCATTTTTCTAAAAATATACATGAAAAATTTGGCTAGTTCTTTTTGGCAGCCTATTTTGCTTTGCCTTAGTGATTCGATGTAGGCAAAAAGTCTGTCATAATTTTAGTGGTGGTGCGCGGCATTAGGGCCTAAGTTCTGGGTTTTTAAAAGAAATTCCTATCCATCTCTTACTTTTCATTGCAGAAAAAAGAACGCAACCTCGCAAGAATGCCAGTGCGGATAGTAAGCAAAACTGAAATTGCTGGACAAAAATATGGCGTGGACTGGATTTTGGGCAATGTGGTCGGATGTTCCGGGCGAATTACCTAGTATTTTTGCTCTTCATAGGATGCATTTGAATAGGAAAGCTGTGATTGTATTGGATTACTTTATTTAAATTCAAGCAGTTTTCAAGACAATAAAGTGCTAAATTTAATTTATTATTCATGTTGGCTTGCATGTTAATTCAGTATTGCACGAAATACGTCATTTTATCCAATCCCAAAAAATGTTCAAATTTTATTTAACCCACATTTTATTGTACCGCCTCGAGACTTCTCTGAAGGCGAAAAAAGGAAATACTGAGACCGAAAATGTACTGCCGACATACGGAGAGGCTGAGGGGCCACTAGCATGGCCCAGAGGTCATGCCGCCCAGTGGATGTACAAAACAAACGGAGCCCTTTGTAACCCTAAAACCATAATAAAGAGTTATATAACTAACCAGGATTGCACATTAGCGCTAACCTCCTACATTTCCAGACATTTATCAATTGAAGACTGATTTCTGGGCAGCATTTCCTTGGGACTTTCTTAGCCTTCATCTTCTTTTGATGCTAGTTTAAGGTCCTCATTATCGCCTACCTCGGTACTATAATGAGGTCTGTGTTTCCACATTCCAGGTCTCGCTTCACCTCTAAAGGGGTTGTAAGATGACTAGACCTTGGCTGTGAATCCACCATATTTATTATAATTAATGAATGAAATAAATGCAGAGCTTATCTAAAAGTGATTTAGATTTTGAAGGATTAATATCTTAAAATCCGCCCTTAGATAGGAAGTTAAATGATTGCTAATTCTGTATTACACAAAAGATTCAATCATTTAGAAGTAGATTGAAATGATTTAGGCTGAAGTAATTTTGGTAGACACCTCAATAGGATTTAAGCAAAAAGGAGTTGCAGAAACATTTCATTGAGTGATAACTAAAGTCAGAGGGACTTCGTCAGATGGAAGAAATTTTCTTTGGATTTATGGATTCATCCAAAGGCTCTCCAAAAACAATATCAGCAAATGAATTTCCCGGTTTCTTTTCGCCTTCTTTATTACCAAAATGAGAAATTCGGCTCTAGCATAAATTTCTCTTACCCGTCATTCAATATGATTCCTAAATATCACCAGATCTTGTGGGCTAAAAATCAGAAAAGAACTCATGACTCCTGTCAGAAATGTCATTTTTGACAAAAAACGATATTATCGTTCAGCCACTGTCAGAAGCTTCAGTCGTGTATACAAATATGGACCAGTATCACGGGGAATTTGGGACAGATTAATAAAGGCCATGTCACACTCTCCCACCTTATATCATAGTCGCTCTGGACTATCAAGGCCCGCCTACAACTTAAAATGTTTTCTATGGAAAAAGCTGCATACTTTAAATATGGTTTGGATAATCTGAACTTTAATAATGGTAGATTTTATGATCACCTTCTAGGAGAAGTGCTGCCAGAGAGGTTTGCGATTCCAAAATGTTTTTTTGCTCCAATTCCCTGGAAATTCCCATTTTAATTGATAACTCTAGCGTTCTCAAAAATCGTACTCTCAGTGCCTTCTGGTTGGCCGGTAGCACTTGTTTATATAGCTCAGGTGTACTGCTAATCCTTGGAAGGTTAATGTCAATCAAATGTTGTAGATACGCGAGACTAAAGCCACTTCATATTTTCATCAGTCTCTCTACCGTCATTAAAATACATGTCGTACTCCCTTACTTTCTCATACTCGTTAACATAAAGCATCCGTTTCTAAATTGTGTCTGACTGCTCTGACCAGGAGCTCACTATGGCCCAAACTTACGTAGATAAACATCAGATCATAGCGACTGATGATGTATCCTTCAGGGAACTTGGAGTTGTCCCCTTTCATCGATGAACTGAATAACATCCTAAAGCTTTGATAGGCACAATTTAAAAAAAAATGGGCAAGAGTGTTGGAGACTCTAGTGGAATCTAGGAGCAGAGCTGAATCAGAAGTGTCAGTCGGCTTAATCTTCTGCCAACAGCATCGTGGAGTCTAATGCTTGCTCAAGTTCCAGCTCTTTTCATTCCCAAGCTTATCAGATCTGAGTATGTTTTCGGATCCGTATCAGCTACTGAAGATGGATAAAAAGTCCGATTTTCATTTCTAAAAACTCGAGACAGCCAAACACGAGATGCGCGCGAGTTGCATCCCGTTCAATCCTCCAAAGAATCTGCACTTTGGTCAACAGTCTTTTCTGTGCATTCTACGCTACACCTAACAAAAGTTGTCAGAATACTTTGTTAAGGACAACTACACCAAAAGGCTTGTCTTTTTCTCCAATCCGCAGTTGACTGCAGACTCAGACATGCGTACCCAGTTCCTGAGCATGAGTAAGCAGGAACTCTTTACGACTCTCACCTTGGTTCTGTCCGGGAGCAAATGAGGTTCTCTAGTTCTTGCTGTACGTCACCTCCACCCAGGAAGATTCAATTCGTCCAAATCCAGCCGACTTCTCAACAACCACCATACTAATCTCATGGACAAGGAAATGTTTAGCGACGGCTAGAGGCTAGACACTTTAGCAAGCACTGCCTCCACATACGACATCGTTGTTGCCAGTACAACATTGTTAGCCACGAGAATGGGTACTGTTGATTCTGCCCGTCTAGATTTTATACAGAAGCTAGCAATCTCAAAAAAGCGCAATTAAAACAAGCAAAATAAAGCATAAAGTTCACACAGTATGGTACGCGTTTTCCTAGACAATGCAAGACCTCCAAAAGTTCATTACCCCCTGTCTCAGTGTCTGTTAAAAGTAGCTGCAGCTAAACACTGGCTCAGACACCAAACGCTCGGACGTCAGAGCTATAGGGTCAACGTTAAAATCGCCGCCTTATATGATCACCAGAATTGCAAACTGGTTTTAGTGGTGTCAAACTGAAGCTCTTTAAACTGAAGCTGGGTCTCCTTCGGTGGCACATCATTCTTCTAAACGTGACACATTAAGAAGGATATGCTCAAACAACTTGGAATTGACTAATTTGACAAGCTAGATAGGGATCAAGTGTCGATCAAATCAATTTGTAATCAGATGCACTCAACAAGAGTACCTTAAGAGCAGTCGGCTACAAATGCTCAGGCTCCCCTATTAATCCACGTTGTTCGGACTCTACCAATGAAGGCTACCAACGGTGAGGAGACGATAATGTTCAACAAAGTGTTGACGCGGCGAGTGAGCTCCGTTGGAAATAAGTGGATGCTTCATCAACCCTTTAACGACCTCATTGTACTTTTTCACCGTTTTAATTCATCATGCCGTCTAGAGTTTAACTGTCACGTTGTTTTGTCTAAGTCACTTCTTCTGAAGGCAATTGGCCAGTTTAATACCAGCCATCCCAGCGTCAGCCCCATGAAGTCTATAGTCAGAAAGTGCGTTTAATGGATACGCATGGACGATGGCATCGCCGATTCCGTCAAAGTTTGCCTGTATTACCCGCGAGAGGAAAAAGCGGCTCAAAAAATCCTACCGGTACCTTGCCCTCAGTCAGAGAAGCCCTGGACGCGAATCTACTTTGTATTCGCTGAAGCGGTTGCTCAGATAAAGATTGGATCAGATTTCCTGTCTTCTCTCACAAGACACTACTTTCATCATCACGCATTCTTCCATTCACGCAAGCACTAACCCCATGGTCCGCCATCTGCCCACTAGATGCGTCTGCTATTAGTAATGAAAAAGACTTGCAAATCGCAGCGGATGCAGCACTGCCAAGGTAACGGTCTTTTGTCCCTAAAATTAATGATGCTCTTTTGACTTGGAATCCTCTCACCATAAATTTATGATTATAATGAATGCTGGAATCAAAGTGAACATTAAAGTTTCCCAAATAATACTAGTTAAAGTAATTACTTACCGATATTGCGTGAATATATAATAACCGGCCCCAGTAATAATTAATCTATTTCTTGAGGTAAATTTTAGTGTCCATGACTCGGGAATGTGTTTAAGATGTCCATTCCTTTTGTAATGCCTAAAATCTGACGTTTCAACCACTTTTGTATTTTCCCAACTGAGGAATACTTCTAATGTATTATTTAGTAAACGGCTTTCTTAATCACATCTACAGCCCCGAGTTCCAGAAAGCATTCAAATTACGGCATTAGAAGTACAAACCCACAAATCTTGTCCTTCGCCATTACCAGCCCCTTCACCGTCTGGTAAAGGTAATGGTATTTGCGGTCTATTATTTCCCCAGATATTCCGCAGGCCCTCTATATTTTCCCATTCCCAGCACCGCTTGGCAAACATACGCACGCACACATGACCATCTTCGAATCTCCTTCATGCGTGCCTCCGTGATACCTTATCGGCCAATCAGCGTCCAGTGTGCTAAGATGCCGATGCTGCAGCCGCAACTACTGTTAATGCTGCGTCTGCTGCAGCATATCGAGGGAATATCAGCTGATGTCAAGGCATTTGGGTCCGCAGCAATACTGACTCGCAATATCGACGAAATGGTGAATGTGGATCCCCACAAGGTTGTGTGCTCACAATTGCCTGGAAATTACTCGGTGCATTGCAATAATAGACATCTGCGTGTGTTTTGGATACCACCGCAGGATGAGAGTGGAAACTTCATTCGAGCTGTCCCTACGTTTAGGGAGGTAGGTTAGAGGACTTGAGTTTCTATTCATCTTCCACATTGTACACAGTAGTATTGGGACTCATTTTATGATTCTTCAGCGTACCTTACGTTATAGTTAGTACTGAAAATGAGTTCTACGCATTGTAACACGTAATGTCATGATGCAAGGAAATTCAGGAACTCAGGTAATGCTTTGTTCCTCCACAGCAAAACATGTCGATTGTTATTATTACATTAACGTCATCAATAATTGGCTGCTTTTGTATTCTTCACTTCTTTTCTTATAAAACGTAAGCAAATCGTGTCCAGAATATTTAGGTTGAAATCTCTGTGCATACATAAACGTCAGCGGTTTTATTGGGTAGACTTTATTGGAGTCTTGACATATCCATCATCCTTCGAGGTTGTGTATTTTGCTTATTCGATGTCATTATACATTTCTAGCATTAAACCTTTCTTGATTTTATAGCAAAGTCCCAGCCTATTTTTGTAAGTTACTACTAATTCCTAGAAGTTTACCCAGGTTTTCTTAGAAGATTGTGTAGTTGATGGAATAAGTCGATCAAGGTGTTTAGAGCTTAGCTAAGGAATATATAATCTTATATCAGTAAAAACTGTCACCAAGTTTTTGTTTTATATTTGATACTAAATTTGCTTGAGTGTAATCAAGGCAAAGACCATTATTATTTTCTGCTTATACTTTTTTTTTAAATATTTTATGACATTGCTTTCATTGTTATTAATATTCGCTCAGGTTAAGTCAGCCCTTTATCCGCCAAAGGGAGGATACTTCTCCGTTTATTTCAAATAAATAATAGAATTTAAAAAGGGAAGTGATTCTAGTATTACTACCTTAAGTTTTAAGTACATTGGATTTCATTTCATAGTATGGTTGGTTTCTATACGGTACTACTTTGTTTGCAGATGTTTTCTCAAAAAATTTTGAGGGCGCCAATTTGCTTAATGTTGTTTGTATACTTCTCCGTTTAAAGACCAATGCATCCTTATTTAGTTACGTCTGTACTACCTAGTATCGTGTTATTTTTGTTGTCAGCGTGGTGAATAGGAAATGTTTTCCACTACACTGCCTAAAGGTCAATTGTGGTGGACTAGAAACCACAATACAATAATTACGTTGCCACCTCCTGTCTACCTTCCTTTTTGACAAAAGGGGAATGCTTGCGTTTGCCTTGTCTTTTTTCTGGAACTAATGACTAATACGACATACCCTCTCTCCCTTGCCCTCTCCCTCTCTGCGGTTTAGATGCAGTTGTCCAGTCTCATAAAATAGGCAAATAAACATGCAAGAGGAAGTTTCTGCAACTCTGACCCATGTAGCAATTGTTTTTCATATGGCTCTGCAATTTATGTTTGCAACTTAAACACTTTAAATAAACACCATCACTTAAAACTACAAGTGGTCTTTTTTACTAAAAATTCTGAAAGAGCAATGAATGATTACGCCTGTTTAGCCCTTCCTTTTGGTTGTAACTTAAGCAAAACAAGTTTTCATAAAATCCCACTTTTTGTTTGTTTTTTTACAAGCAACTGCTTAATATAGCTTGAATAACCAAACTTCCCTTAAAATAAAGATGCTTTGTATACTACCTAATAAACACCCGGCCTAACCGAATTTTTCCTAAGTTTGGAAGCTTGATTGGGAAGAGAGTATTAGGCAGTTCCTTTTGCTTAATCAAAACTAAATTTTGCAGCAGTGTTTGTGGTTGTTTGAAAGTGTTTCCGGAGTAAAATAGTTCGCGGTTGGAAATGTTTTTGGTAGACAAAATAATATACTGTTCACAATAATTGAAGCCTTGAATTTGCTTTAATGATCAAGGAAATAGTTCACTTTTTAAAGCTTTAAAATTTGCCCTTTGTATAATGGGTCCGGGTCCGTAACTCTTGCAAATTTTTAAGTACATAAAAATTCTTAGATCACCAAAGAGATGAAAGCAAAATTGAAGCCATCAATTTGGGTTCACCTATTTTCTAAACCTGCAAAATATTATAAGATTCTTGTTTGTTCGAAGTAACCTTAAACTTGAGAACTGAGAAACGCTTCGAAGCGCTTAATCATATTTAAAAATTTTTGCCACTTAGTTTTGTATATGTACAACTTCATTCATTAATTTAGTTCTGTGGAGTGGTTTCAAACCCTAAAGATATTAGTGTCTATCTTGTGGTCTAGAAGATGTACATTAACACTTCTTGACAAGTGTGTGTTGATCGAAGGGGTTTGCTTAATCAAATATCATAGCACTACCATTTACTAGTATGAGAAGTATTGAATGACCTCATTGGTCACACAAATCACAGATGAAATACTTGCACAAACTGAGCTTTGTTTGGCCTGTAAAGATGCTAGACAATGTAACAGAATTTGTAAAGGTGGAATTTGAACAAAATTCATACAATTGAATCGAAGTAGCAATAAAAATGCATGTGATTGCTGCGTGTGTGGACGCAGGTATGTGACCAAAAGGTGGGTTGCGTATGTGCGACCACTTTTGAAATCTACTAGACCATCCCGAGACGCACTTCCCATGGTGACACCTGAATTACGCAAAAAGCGAATTCCACCGGAACACCGATTAATCACAGCGGTGGGAAACTTCGAAGCCCCTAATTTCATTATTCTCACTGTTTTAAATTTAAACAGCTTTAATTGAAGGCCTTCACTCTGGAAAAGGAAGGTAGTTGAAGAGTCGCTGGTTTTAAATTGGTGACTAAAGTGGTATTCAGACAGTCTATCTGGCGCAAATGTTGGTGTATCTAAACCAAACCTATTTAATATACTTTAACATAAACTAAAGTTAAGGCAAAATGAGTGCAAATCCTAGGCAATCCTAGGTAAAAAACCCACTTACTGCCTGGTTTTTACATTTTTGTTTAGTTATGCACATAAAACGCTTTTGCATTCTTTGAGGAAGTTGCTGGTGGCTGTCTCTTCACTTTGAAGCTTATTTGAAAGCATTTAGTCATACGTTGTATTGCTCCAAGTTAACGGGAGGAAGTAAAAAGGATTTTGGTCAAAATGTGGAGATTTGTGACCCAAATTCCCAAAGAAGCAAGAATACTACATCTTGATTCCGATTTTAAGTGCATTAGCTTGAGTTATCATTCGCATGATGGGAGACATGATCATCTTTGAAGTTAAATAATTTTAACAACCAGTAAATGGGATGAAATGCGTATGCATTACCCGAGGGCACTACTCACAGCAAGACACTAATATGAAAATTCATCCCCACTGTCATTGATATTTACTGCAGTTGCAATGTATTCAGGGCGTTACTTGGTTTAATTTTAAGTGTAATCCATCAGATTCGTTGAAAGATCATTTCTTGGTAGTTCATTAACATAGTTAATGATCCCAAATTCCACAGTTTTTAATGGCCACGTACAATTGTTCACCACTCGGAAAGACTTCCAATATTTAAGCAGTTGTGTAGGAGTCTAATCACACATATCTACATGTTATACTTTTATCAAGCCGCAAAAATGCCGTGTTTTATTTTGACATGTTTTAATGTATGTTCCAACACGATTGATCAAATTCCCATCCACTTATCGCTTTTGTTCTAATTTTTTAAAAAAAGGTTGGAAGTCCTCGATTCACATCTTTCCCCGATCAACTGCGTCCACCCGGAGCCCAAGGACGCCACTATGACCGCAATGGCACCCGACCGAACACCGTTTACGAGTTCGGTCTGAATTACGTCACCGCAGAGGGAGTTGTGGCCATCCCTCCCCATGGCAACAAGGACTTCCCACGCTGTTTTTGCACCAGTCCACGTAGGTTACTCATTCTGACCCTCCTTCAGGCTGAATCAACTTGATCACCATTTGTGGATACACATACAGTTTCATTCAAGCTGATGGGGATGTTGTTGATTCTAAAGTATCAAAGTTTTAGCCGCACACCCTTGGAGAAGTTATAGCCACTCTTTGATAAAGACAGGTGATCTTGGAAAAGCAACGCTAGAAGCCAATTCATCTATATTCCAAAAGTTTTTACTATCACACTTTATTCTTGGCTCAAGGTATAAAAGGCAGCATTCAGAATTCTTATTTTGATAATTTTGAGAAAACCTATAAGACGTTAGTGGTGTTAAAATAAATGGTTCCATAAATGCAAATTCCGTTCAAAACATTTTCATTTCTGTTATGGCTATGAACTTCAGGTTCTCTCCCCAAACTAATGACTGCAGTTTATTTGATTTTAAAGTAGTATGTTCGGCACCTTTGGTAATCATTCTTCATCATCTTTATTTAAATGCTTAAGAAGCCAAAGCATGTTAGTAGCCTCTTAAAGTCCTGACAAATATTGAAAAGCATTTCGCTGAAGTCGTAATTAAAGTGAGAAAAGGCAGATCCTTTCAACGGCTCTCTTGCTAACACATTATTTCAATAATACTGAAAGTCCATACAAGTTCAAAGCATTCAAGGCCTACCCCACCTCCAAATTCTGGACAATTCGTTCGAAGTTAGCCAATCTAATAGATGTAAAGGAAGTATATTTACTAAGAAGGTAATACTTACAAAGATAGGTTTCAAAGTATAGATTTTATGCTACTGGCAAATTTTTTATGGCGAACTGATCTTGTATTGGTTTTATAAGTTTTATCAGTAAACCTAGTGCTACGCTTGCCCAGAATTAAACAAAAGCTTTCACGAATAGGTTTTGTTGATGACAAGAAAGTAAGTGGTCACAAGCTGTTAGCACTGGTTTTAAATGCTTGCTGTTCATACAAAGGGTCTCAATGTTTGCCTCTTTTTCGAGAAAAAAATTGTTAGGTCTTAACATTTTGTGCTACTGAATGGAAACTCTTATTTCACTAGTTGTTCACAAACTGATTTCCTTTCCATACTACCTAAACTTCAGATAAACTATCTCTCGTACCCCTAAGTAACAAGGGCTAAACAGTCGTTGCTTTTTAAGTTAATCAAATGCAAAGAAATGCTTTGGTTGGGCACTTGCTTACATATTTGTTTTCCTTTGAAATATCACACCCACAATCTTTTTGTCTTTCAGTAGATTTTGGGTTAAAATAACGCAGTTCCACAGTCAATATTAAAATGAAGCAGTGCAATATTTTCGTAACATACTTAACCATTTAATATTACAGCTGATGCACCGGAGGCACCAACAAACTTTAACTGTCACTATCTCCACAAGAACGACTACGCCTGTGAATGGATGCCTGGGAAGGACTATGGAAGTCCCATTGAATACTACAAACTGCAATACAAGTATGTCAGCACTTGTATTAGTAGAGCATCGAAAATAGTTTTGTGCTTTATACTTCTCTATATTTATGAATAATGCAACATGCTCCAGAAGAAATAAGCAAATGGCCGTATGATGGGTAATGTGCAACTCCCTTAACACGTTTGTTGTTAGTGTCCTATATGTGCGGAATACCTTCTCCATTAGTTTATAGGTAGCTGGTTACACAAAACTGTATGTTGCAAAAGACTGCATGAGCTTAAAATAATAAAAGTCATGTAGGATTTTATTAGTTAGAGCATAAATTTTAGCATATCTTTTGTGGATCATTGTGACTGATTGGTACTATTTTGTATTCCCATGAAAATATTTAGAAACCGTCTTTAAATACTGCTAAATAGTTTATCCTCTATTTACTAAATTCAGGTGAATCCTGATTAATTTATGGAAAGTTGCGTAACTAACGGACAATTTGTGTTGTCATTTCACTGCAAGTAAGCCCTTTCTTGGGTAGCAAGTAACTACAACACAGCCTGACAGGCAGATGACAATGTCCACGCACACCTGTCAAATGCTCTCTATGGTCAACGACCTTGCTTTGACTTTGGGCCTTATTAAAGGATGGAGTACTTTACACTCAAAATGATGAAATTAGTTTGTGACAGCAGATTGACCTTCAAAAGTAGTGTGAAATAGACTATATTGTCCTTTTAAATGCAGATCATTCAACTAGGGGATTATGCCACTCGTTGGAGCTATATTAATGCCTGATTAATTCAATAAAAACGAGCCCCCATATCCTTTAAAATGGATACTGGATGAAGAAATTGGTTTATTTACCGATGTAAGCTTCTTTTTAGTCAAATCAAAATTTTCACTGTTTGCAAGTTTAATATAAATGCAAATTTGGTAACCACATTATACCCCAGTAAAGTGGATGCATATTTATCTTGGCTTACCCCTCCCACACTTTTGTTCTTGTTATGGTATTGCTGAAAATTATTTAAGTGGAATTTAAAATTGCATATGATAGTTTCAACTTACTTTTCATAAGGTAAAAACTGGATGAAACACGTATTGGACAAACTTTTCTGATCTGGTTTCTTCTGGAAATCCTAATTTAACTCCCCAAAAGTAGTAGTTCCAAATTCACAATTTTTCGTCAGAGTAAATGTTTACTTTTCTGGTTGCCTCTAGAATTTAGATAGTTGACTTTATCCTCCAAAGGTGATGCTCTTCATAATCACTTCAATCGTTGCAGTGGGGAGATTCTATGATAATCCTTACTACTAACCATGCATAAAAGAAATTTTATGTTGAAGCCATTTTTTCTTGACATCAGAAGCCCATACCAAAACTGTTTTTATCAACTGCGTGATAAATCCATTCTTAGTTCACCTCTGCTTCTGTGTTTTTTATCCGGCGGAAGCCCATAATTCACACATTTCAAACTCTGACTAAGGAATTTGTAAACGCGTCAAGTTTACACATTGAAAACGATGGTGTTATTCCTCATTTAAGATGTAATAATGCTGAATTCCTATCAGTGTCAAACAAAACCCCTCAGTCAAAAAGGGAACCTCCTTTCCAAAGTTTGTTTGGCATCAAAATCGTGGAAAATGGACCCAGATAATTTTTCCCCTTTTTGTACTAATCATGCCATTTACCAAGTTAATTAATTCCATGCCAACATGCCGTTAACACAAGCTAATAACTACTACGAAAAACAATCTGATTACGTTGAAAGGTTCCTAACACCTTGAACCAGAAATCTAAATCCATTTCATCTTTGTTTTTATACCCATCAAATCTCTTTTTCTACTCTAAACCGGTTGATTTTGGTTCTGTGTATAAATTTTCCGGAAAAGAAACAGGTAGAGACTTGCAAAGTCTAGGAGTTATGCTGTCTTCCTTAAAAAATGCCATTAGAGAATCGTAAGTACAAATTTAAAACAGGCAGTACAATAGTGAAGGCTCAAGGAGGAGGCACATATTTTGCCGCCATCATATGTCGCTCCCTTTTTAAAAACGCAAAAAAAAACTGAAAACGACACTGACAGTGATCTAACCCACTGGCAAAATAACCTTTACTTATATCGCCTTTTTTGAATGCCTAATATCTCACACCTTCGTTAAACCTAACTTCAGAATGTGAATAGTAAATTGTTTAATTTCAAGGGCAAATAAGCCAATAAGTTTTACTATTATGGCTTGGCAAGCTGAGAAATTTTGGCCAGTGTCCAGCTGAGGAAGTGAGGGGCTAATTCCATAAATGTTTAGCCAACGTATACCCTGAAGTTAGAAGTCTATCGCTGACTTAGGATACATTACGGCGTGCCTATTTTAAGTTATATTTTGCCCTTGCGTCATTGTCAAATTAAGCTTGAATTTCGAATAATTTTGACAACTCATTAGAAATATCAATTATCTATGGTATAATTTGCAAAATTCGAATCGAATTTGGCTCAAAAATAACCTAAACATAGAAGATTTTACTGTTATCGCACTAGAAAGTTGACTAAAATGAATATTTAATAGAACGCGAATGTTCATTTTTTGCGTGACCTAAGCAATGAAATGACAATTATTATTTAAATCCAAATATGTTGAATTTGGCGGCCCAACAGCATTCTTGATTCAGTAATTCAAGCCATGTTCACTTTTGGTTCGATGTTACTTTCCATTCGAACCAAGATGATTGCTTTTGAGACCAAAATAGTCCAATGAGATTTGACAAATCGCAGGCTGTAAATTCGTTTAAAACTGTATGACACATTATATAGAAGTGCTAAAAATAGTGAAAACTGCTATTTTTCGTATACAACTTTAAAAATCTGTGTCTAACGTAAGCTCTACTGTTTGGTCGGGGATTGTTCAAAGCACCCAGGCTCACTTTAGTGACTTATGCTATGGGCAAAAAGCATTACAATATAGCCGGTTTCCGTTGGAAAAAAAGGCCTTAAAGCTAAACTTTTCCTTACGGTATCATTCCACTTTTTATGATCTCTCAACCCCAGAAATTAACACCAAAAGGAAATAGCTGGTGAGGACCATGCATTCATTCCTTCATAAAGTTTATCACTCAACAATAAACCAGCCTGAATTTATTTGCTTAAATGCAATTAAAAGCGCCAGAATTCTGGTGGGGGCTTCGTAACTTTTATTCGCCCTCTACTAGTTGATTATTTAAAGCAAAATGCAAGTTTCTTGATTTTATATCTTGCAACTACAATAAAGAGAGTAGCATCGACTGCAAAAATAAAGACTACAGATGCATACACCATTGTAAATGAGAAAATTATGAATAACCATGGTGGACCACTTTTATATTTCCTTCAAGACTGTGATGACTAGGTTATTTGCCGTGATGTGCCATTTTTTTACACATGGTGCTAGTTTGAGTACTGTCGAATGTGATGTTTCTCATTATTCTATAAACCCAAAATCCACTAGTAAAGGTGTATGGCGCCTTAACGGAGTTCGAAAATCAATTTTAAAAGTTTGCAGACCTACAGTTCCAGCTATTATTTTGGTATGAAAAGCAAAACCTGTTGTTCTAATAAAACCCAAAATAAATTGATCCAGAAAACTGGGCCAAACGCATCACAATCATATGTAACAAATGTATCGCATATTTTTTGATGAATAACCTGTTTCCTGGTTCCGTTGTGTCCTGTGCTAGCACAGGACAAATACGAAAAATATGTGAAACAAGATATGTTTTGAACGACACTGTAAGATTTTTTAAGTAAATGCAGCCAGAAACATTGGAATAATCTTTTGTATGCAAGATTTGGCCTTCATTAACCTACCTATGGACACTCCATGGGTTTCATTTTTCAGCCAATCAAATATGATCGTTTCTCATAATTCTTGATCACGCGACTCGCCTATTTTCCATCCTAAGGTCTACAGGTTTTTCCATGGACAGTCCAACTTTAATTACCCTGCTTACGTTAAGTAAGCTTTTGCTGATAGACTAAGGGACTATATCATGCTATTTATTATCAAGATAAAAAAATTACTACTACTTTTTTATTTGCTTTGAATCGCAAAAGTATCTCTTGAAAAACTATTTTGCTTTTTAGTGCCTTTGAATACAAATTGCCTTTCTCACCGAGGTAATACTATGATGCTGCCAAAATGGAAAACACAAAATGGGTCAAATTTATTTCTTCGTCAAGTGCTTTTCAGAATCATAAGACCTAACACAAAACAGATGCATCACTACTACAGATAATTTTATCGTATTAGACTAAAGTAACTACTTGGTATTGAAAAGCCTGTATGTTATTGATCTTAAATTATGATATTCCGTCAAAAAGCACTCGTCTGGTCACAACCATGGTCTTAAAATACCCCAGTTATGCGAGGCCTAAAGTTCCAAATTCCAAATTTTACTATCTCCTTTGCTAAGGGCTTACAATTCCTCCAACATGGACAATCCCAAGTGGGTAGATTTGGTGGAGGTGCCGGGCTCCCTAACAAAGGCTAACGTCACCCTACCCATTCGTACGCCCACTGAGGTGCGCATCAACGCCATCAACGCCGTGGGACGCAGTGACATCACGGGACGTCTGGTAAAACCTCCGCTCTATTACCACACAGGTTGGTTACGGTGTTCTTATTTTGTGCCCACAATGTTCTTTCAGTGCATTGTCGGTATTACCCACATTCATGCATTAGTTTGTTAGTTCGTCTGCTTATTCTGGCGGCCCACACGTGATGATTGTTTGGTGACGTAGCATGTCTGTAAAAGAAAAGGTGAAAGCAGGAGGTCGAGAGGTTGGATGAGTGAATGGATGAATGCGGAGGTTGAAATTGCACTAAACAAACATCGCTATTTTCATTAAGGGAGGGGTTATTGATGTAGGGTACAAATCAGCAAACCATATTGGTGGAAGTAAGGAGATATGTTTGTACGGTGTTTACAGTGGGTGTGATTGGGTTTATTTATTTATACTTAAGCAATGGGGAATCTTGACTGATCACTTTCCTTTTGTCCTACATGGAATGCTAGCAGTTCCTAAAGATACTAGTACCAATTACTAAACCAGTGGCAGGTTTCCATTTCCTATAATGCATTATTCTGGCCTAATTACTTTACTGAGGGAAAATATCTTCTGAAGTGTCTGTTTTGAGGTATCATGAAAAACCTGAAAATATCAATTAAAAACACCATACCTTAGTACAATACTTGCCAGTTTAAGTCGAGACATCTAATTTTGTGCGAATTATTTCAGTACGCCAAGAAATAGTGTACTACTATTTATCTACTTCATCATGGGTATAATTAACCGTGATCGAAATACATGTAACTCCTTGACACATCAAAACGATAGTTGAAGCTGACTTTTTTTATGAATAATTTCAAGGCTTTGTTTTAATTATATGATTTTAGAAAAGGGTTGGAAAGCCGCTGATGTTTTTACTTATGGTACAATTGGCCTTGGAGTCCTGTTTCTCCTCATCCTTCTTGTCGTTCTCATCATATTCAAACGTGAGTGGTTCATCAGGTGTTAAATAACTCTTTTTGTATTTAAGCCGAGTGAGCTCCTCTCATATTGAACTTTATTTAAATGAACTGAGCATAATTAAAACAATCTATTAATGCAGCTTGCTTAAAATGCTACATGAATTGCTTCGAAGAATTATTCAAGCTAATTGGCTCCCATCTATTTAAATATAGACAAGGAAAGTTCTTCCAAAATACAAAGAATAAAGGACAAAAGGTGAAATAAATACATAGCTATGGGCATGTAAATAAAGATACCGAATTTCATGAAAGAATTCACCAGAAATGCAGCATTTAAAGAAGTTTTGATGTGCTGCAAAACGGCTCAAAACAATCTGTTTTTATTAAAAGAACGCTTTTCTGAGTAGTAATTATGCTATACCTTAGATGTATTAAGAGTAACTCAGCAATTTGTAATTTATGTTAGCTGATTTCGCTTCTGCTATCCAACTTTTGAAATTACTAGGTCTTATTATGTTAACCACTATCCAGACCCATTTTTCGCGGTATCACTATAGCTTATGCCTTACATGCTGCAGTTGACAACTCTTGCCTAAAAATGGAGTGTCTGCTACTCTAGAATAGGAAAAGCTGCTGTTTTGTCTTTTTTGGATATTTTTTGCAAATACCTTATTCCTATTCAACCATTCTTATACAAATGAAGCAGTTTCACTTATTATCGGAGCCTTAGTTTGAAATAGCTTCTTTATGAGACCTAGATTACTTCAAACTGTCATAAACATACAAATGACTGGAAAATAACTGGAAAAATGCTTGGTTTGGGAAGTAGTCTACAAGGCCAATCCTTCCTGGACACAAATGGCTTAGTGTTTTGTACTTTACTCTTTCCAAGGATTCTACTAACAAATCGATATCCATTTCTTAGGAATCTAAAATGCCTTTTTCGGGATTCCGCTCAGCCTGCCTTTACATTTTTCATGACACTTGAATGCTTCCGTGAGAGGCCATTAAGTGATAGTTATTCTGTGATCTCTAGTGGCCATTTGTCTTAACCGTCGGCGCTACGACTGTCTGACTGCCTCACAATTTTTTAGCCGAACTTCCTTTTTTTCATTGCATGTATTTCGAAGCCCTGACTTTTGGCAGGATCTACGGCTCTCATCCAACACACACTCGAATATTCGTAGCCGAAGTTGAATTGTATTTAAAGAATTCATTTCTCATTCAAAGTGGAATTCGCTGCAGTTATTTCCAGACCAATTACTACTGACCCAGTCTTCATTTGTAATCCTTTTTTTTAACATTTTTCAAGCCAACACTCTAAAATTTCGTGTTGATTAATGAAAAATACTTCCTGAAGAATGCAGGTTTGTGCAATTATTATCTAGGTAGATTCGTAATTTCACAGTTATTTCAGACAGGTTAAAGAGCTGGATGGGGTGTTTTTGAGTAATAAAAAAATTTGAACCTTTTTTTTAAAATATTAATACCTGCTTAAGGGCAGGTCGTGGTTTTCATTTATGCCCGGAACATGTGCAACAGCTGTTTCCTATTTTCTGATGGATTTCTGGAATGTATTTCTAAGTGGCCTAGAAGAGGGTTACCAAGAGCTATCCAACCCGCGGTTCCATAGTTAATTTACTATCAGGAGAAGATAATGAATTATTCTGGTGCATGATCTGGTGCTCTCAGGACTGCAAATCTGAGCTTGTGTTTTAATAGTGTCTACTTGCTGAATAAATGGTCTGATAGATGGGACCCGAGAGGATTGATTTTAAAGTTCAGTCCCGTTGCTTATGGCCGTGGCTGAACAAATCTTATACTCTGGTGAGATGACCCTTTTTTCCTGGCATCTTATAATCTCTCCAGAGAACACCCGTTTTCTTTAGTATGTTACACTGGTAAAATTTAGTGCGGCAGAATCATTGCCTGGTGAAACGGTTAGTTAGAGAAAGCAGACTAAAAATTTAACCAAATCAGCTAAGCTTAAAGTATACATCTAACGGCGCTTCATGCGCCGTTTCAGATTAACTCTACGTTGTCCTAGTTTCAGATAGAAAAACAGGTGTTCCATGTTTTTTAGATCATTAGCATTCTGGTTGTATAAAAGTTATCATTTCTCACTTATTTCTTTTAACTGGAAACAGATATTTTTGTGATGTAGAGGGCTTTTCGCATAATTTGAGTAAAAATGGTGAATTTGTGTCATTAGTTTGTGATGACGTTCATCAGACCAAATTTTTGCATCATACACGCATAAGCAGAAATGTACTAGCTTTACACTGCTAGTCTTGAGAGCCTCCCGACTCTTATAGGTCGCCAGGCCTCCTCAAAGGGAAGCAAGTCATCCTTTCTCATCAATTTTAATCGCGGTCGAGGGGGCAATGGCGGTCAAGTGCGAATGTACAATGGCTCATTGCAGGACAACAGTTTTGCGGCTACAAAAACTACAAGTTTAAGCGGTCCACCATTTGATATTCTCTCCTCCTTTGAACCCGCTTGGAGTCAGGAGGTAAACTCGCTCTATGGAGCAGGCGTGGCCATTTCTGGTGAGACTAACGAAGCCCTTCTTAATCTCAACTTGATCCCCGCTTCGCAGTTGCGATTTTTGCGCTATGTTGGATGTGGTGCCTTTGGGAAGGTCTGGGAAGGAAGACTACTTGTTGCAACATCTGGATGCCCGAACTCAGAGGGTAAATTCGAACGGGTAGCCCTCAAGGTGAGACAATACTTTGGATGGCTTGCAGTAAATATGATTTACGAAAAAAGCTTTATTTGCTCCAAGTATGCATTGAACCACAAGCATGACATATTTAGCTAGATTTGATTACTCATTCTGTAATGTATACGTCCAGTGATCAAAAGGAATAACTGACGTTAACTCTAACAGATTTGCCATCAGTTTTCTTATTTAAAATTTAAGACAAAACTTGTGTAAGTCTGGATGAGAAAAATGTAAAAGTGATCAGAGACTTGTGGGTCACTAAAATGTACAGTAGAAACAAGTCCCATGATGCCGAGATGGTGCCCGAGTCGGTGAGGAAGTGCTCATCCCAAGCAGACATTTTCCTCTTCTACAACATGATTTCTTCTCTTACTGTAATGTGTGATTCAAAGTTTTTAGAATAGATCTTTGTTGATTTCTGCCCACAGTAATTAGGTGCTAGGGATACTTTGGTTTTTCTCCATCTATGCCAACACTGAAACTTTAAGTAAGCCCAAAATTTCAGCATTCCAAATGCAGACTGTCAGTTAATACTTTGAATTTTTATGACGGTTTACTTCTTGCTAGCACTCGTAAACTGTGTGGTAGGAATGATTTTATTGTAGCACGCAAGGAAAAGTGAGGCATTTATTTTAAAATATCAACCAAATACGTCTACGGAGAGTCATGTCTTCTTTTTATTTCAAACACCTGATAGCAGGTTTCAACTGGTTAGTAAATTGCAAACTCGGTCCTGCTTTCAGTACATCTTTTTGCCTCTGAATAAGATTTAATAGACTGTGAGCATCGTATGTAAATTACCCAATCACCACTATAACATATAAGAGCTCATTTGTAAGATATCAAGTTTTACACAGTACAAGTAGTGTTTCCAAAAGATTTATTATCCTTAAAATGAGTGGATAAAAAGTGTCTTTAAGATTTCAAAATGAAAAAATGCAGCGCTTTTGAAAACCATGCATTTACTTTTGAAGCACCCTTGTTTGAACGTAAAAAGCCAGATATCTAAGAATTACTTGTTCGTATGGTCAACTGCTTAGAAGCCGCAGAATGGATATCTCTCCCTCCAATTTTCCCTATGTCATACTTTGAAGATATTACACAATGCGAATTTTCCAGCACAATCCTTCCTTTCGTGATCATTGTGCATCTAAGCAACGCGATCATTTCGTGACCTAATAAATTATTTAAGGTAGAAATTCAAGGATGTTATCTCTTAATTATGCATTTTTTAATTGATCTTAGCGTAGTCTTTTAAACAGAAAACTATTTTTGGGAAAGATAAATGACACCCACTAATATACAAGACCAAATCTCGTGACCTAGGTGGCGATTGATTTATCTTTAGCTGTTGCAAATGCTTACCGGGACAGTTTTAGCCACATGGTGCAACACTATCGTCAATGCTTAAGATAAAAATAGAGGGAAGTTTGAAAAATCCCATGACTCTGCCAAAACTTTCCAGGGGAATCCAACCATATTTAACTCCGAAGACGCGGTCATTTTCAGAGTTTGGGTGTAAAAATATTGTGTTCTATTATATGGTTGTACTAGAAGATTTTTTACTTCTTCATGGGTAAAATATGCCCTACTTACTAATTTATATAAGTATACAGAAATTTCCTACAATATGAATGCGGCTTTAAATTCTGACCTTACAATATCAATCTCTACTTATTTGTTTATCTAAAGTTGGAAGAAGTGCTTATTTTTCACAAATAGTAACTATCGTAAGAAGCCTAATCATAAAAGGCTCTTATTTCCATTTAGAATAGTAAAAATACTTGCTACTTTGGTGTTGCAAAATGTGTAAAACAAACCTTAGGTATTCAATAAATATATCCATTCATCTAAAATTCTTACCACAGCTTTGAACTACTAATAATATAATTGACCAATTCTATTTAAATTTTCCCACTATCTCCTCAGAATTATCGCGTTAATTCATAAAGTCTTTGTGAGCAAGTATAATACTAATAAACAGTGCATGAGCTCACAGATACCTCCGTACACTCTTGTTTTAAGTCTTGTTTTTGGTTAGGCAACAAATCACTTCTTTAAATAGTAAAATCTGCCTTTGAGCACCTCAACACCTTGTATTAGCCTAATGAACGGATCGTGAGGAGTTTTAACTACCCCATTACCCAATATAATTTATGATACAATTTCTCTCCATCCAAGCCTCACTTTCTTAATCCTTTTTTGTCTAACGTCACTATTTAGCAAAGGAGGAAAACTCGGTCGTGAAGAGATTTAGAGAACAAAAATTAATATCCCCACACCTACATGATTGGGGACGAGGCAATTTGTTTACGAAATCAGCACTGGGCATTGCCCAAATGAAGGCAGAAAGAGGGAGGGAGCCGTGGGAGCTAATTATCGCGTGCCCCACTTGCTGCTACCTTGGCATTACCACAAATTCCTGATATTTCCAAGTGGTCTACTCCTCCTCCTCCTCCTCCCAATTCCGTGCTTTGCCTCGACGCGAAGGCATTCCAATGGTGGCTCCTATAGCCCTCAGTTTCGCACCCTCACGAGAATGGCATTTAGCCAGAGCCCTTCTAAAATGTTATCTATAGTACGCGCGAGATGAATAAATCCACGTCGAATAGTCTGCGATCTAGATCAGTGAAGCACATCATTTCCTTAAGGGAGAGACTAGATGATCAAATGGGGTGGCATTTGTGCACTTCTGACGGCCACCATTTTATTCATTCATCATGGGGGCAAAATCGCAGGGCGTGCAGGTGTGCCCCACTAAGAGGACTATCATCAAATACATCCACCATCTGGTTGTAGGAATGCGGGCGTGTTTGTATGTCTGTGCATTTACTTGATGAACCTTTTCACCAAGCTGCGAATTCCCACAGCGTTTGGACCTCATCATGGGGATGATTAACGGTCTGAGTCATGGGCATGACTTAGCATTTCGTCTAGTTGGGAAAGCGACTACACCTTAAAGCAGGTTTCTGTCCATTTTTCCGTGAGCCGCAACGTTTACTGCATAAACTATCATTTGATCCAAGTTTGTTTCAATTTTAACCAAAAGGGCATTCTTGATAAATACTGTGTCCACTTCTATGTATTACGTTCCGACAACAATTTGGAGTTTTTCTGTGTTAGCTGATACAACTGCGTCAGATTTATAACGTTGTGTATTCATTGTATTCAGCGAATCTAGAGTGTTTATCACTATGTTTTGATTGTGCAAATGGATAAGTTAATGGGCAAAATACGAACTCACACATCGCTTTTTTGGTCTCCATAAATAAATATACCTTTTACTCATTGCTACTTAAATCTGAACACCTCACCTTTGAACAACAGGCTGAAATATAGTAGGGGTGTTGGAAAATGTGTGGAAGAAGGGATGGGCTCCTAATTAGGGCATTCAGTGTATTCTCATCAAAGCGCTATTCTGGCTATTCGGCAATGATTTATCTGCTTATGGAAGCTGCACAGTCTTTTATTCTACTAAGTGTAAATATAATTTTGACAATTTACTTGGCGAGCTCATATTGATATTCCTGTCAGAATGGGTGGAGTAAGCTCATGATTAGCAAATAAGACTGACTTTAGGGTTGTTTTTGCCTTGCAAGTTTGTAAATTTTTCTATGTAACAAAATAATTTCTTGGATTAGACACCGACCCCAACTGTTATGCTTGAGCTATCTTCAATGCTTGTATATCTCCAGAGATCAGATGGAGAGATTTTAAATAACCCATGCAGATTGCTTAGGATAATGTACAGAATTGAGCACTCGTTCACTAACTTCCCTTCTATAGTTAAGATCTTTAGGTGGTAGCTGCCTAGTATGGAGTTCTTTCAAGTTATTTATGCCTCATTATAATCTTTCATTCTTAAAAATGAAGCCTCTTTACGCGACGGCCATTTCCTTAAGTGGTAAATTCCAACTTCATAGAGCTATATTGAAACCCATTGCTATTTTCGTAATACCAAAAACATAATTTGCAACTCCTGAGTCCATTCAATACATTATTACGGAAGGAATTCTCCACCTAATCCATGCTGATTTATACATCCATATAAAGGTCGTTGCATACCTTTTGGATATTTGTAGAATAATTTTGACTTGACCTTTGGCAGTCAGTAGAAAAATAGACTTCACTGTTAACGCACAAGTGAAATGAATGTTCCAGTCAATTTTGCATTTTTTAGGTATCAGTTCCTTAACATTATAAAAATTACCCATTTTTATGCACCATCAACTTGAAAAAATGCAATTAGTGGTAAAATCTGGTCTACAGAAGCGTGATTTCTCCAGTTCTTTCTTAGCTCTTTTCGTATACGTTTGGCTTTGGTCATATAGGCATAAACGCATTGCATAAGACTCTCCTTTCATGAAAATTCAGTAAAATATTACTCTGAATTTACACTCTTTTTAATTGTACAATGATTTTTACGCCCATACACACATTTATAAGTACGTTTTAGGTCTGGTAATGCCAAGAAGAGAATTATTACTTAATGAGTGCATCCTATATGTTTTTACCTAAAAAATTCACCACATTTGATTTATTCGTTGCGATCAGGAGCATCTATCGCAATGGATTTCACAGACAAAATTAGAAGGCAACAAGCGAGTTTATGCCAGCTAGTTAAGACTGGACAAATTCCTTAAGCATTCAAACAAGAGTTAAGGTTTGGAAATCAACTCTTTTTAAATTGAACTCCACATTTTGCTATAACTGTGAAATAATTTTGTGGCAATGCATGCTACTCAAATACTTCTGAATATGACTGAATGACTGAATAGCAAACTTCATTATCATTGTAGGTGCGCAATGTCAAGTCCCTGTCTGAAGCCGAATTTAGGCGTGAGGCACTATTGATGCAGCGGTACCAACACGAAAACATAGTTCGTTTTTACGGTATCTCCATGGATTCTCCAAACCACCAGTGCCTTATATTGGAGATGATGGAACAGGGCAACCTCCGTGAATACCTCCATCGCTCTAGACCTCGACTCACCCCGTCCCAAGCGGAGCACCTCTCTAGGCAGGAGCACACAGCGCGTAGTGATAGATCAAGTCGCCAGACTGAGACGACGGAAGCTACTACTGGAGAGAGCATGTGCAGTGGATTGGGTGCTGTTGAACTTCATGCAATGCTGACTATTCCAGACCTTATAAGAATAATGCGTGACATCGCTCGAGGGTGCCGGTATCTCGAAGAACAGCACTTTGTACATCGGTACGTTTTCTCGTTCTTTTAAGATTAATTAGTCATTCATTGGAATCGGTCTAGGACAATTGCTTATGGGATCGGGTCATTTAGTAGCAAACAGAAGGACCCAGGGCTCAGTAACTTGAATGGAAAGAGCAAACCTTATCCCATTGTTCGAATCGCATTAGAAGGTAAAATCTCATTTCATAAATGACACAAATATCATTTAGTTACAAAGCACCCTTTGTCTTGTTAGGCCTTACCCTCAGTTCTCAAAATACTCACACTTCTGTTTCGACCAAAGCACAATATTGCGCTTTCTCTTCAAACTACACAGTAGTGGTCTTTTTGATGTGCATTGATCCAGACCGAACAATAAATAACAAGAGCATTTCACATGACAATTCTTTCATGTAAGAATGTTGGCTCGGAAGCGTTGTCATTTAATATAGAGCACTATATAAATTAATGCCTTCGGATTGTGTTTAATAATCAGTCCTCTTTCCTATTTTGTTGTAATTCCAACCTTGTTCAGGCCTCCATTTGGCTTATTCTCATCTTCTTGAAGCTCAGAAAGGTGTCTATTCCCATAGTTTTCATTTAAGTAATGTGAGCAGCTTGCCTCCATAACTTAAAAGTGGGATGAATGGCAAAGTTAGAGCGCTTCTGTGACTGTTGTTGGTCTCCGCATATACAGCTATCTACAACAGATTTCTGCCTTTGGTGACTTTAAGCTTTGCCTGTAGCGAGTAATAAAGTCAAGTGTATACTCACTGAAGCAGGTTTTCTCAACATTGGCTGGAATTTTGAACCTGAGCCATCTAGTGTCCAGGCTGATGCACAGAGAACTAAAAAGTTTCATGTCACTAAATATGCAGTCAAAACGATTCTTTTTTTCTCTTCCTTAGGCCATTGTCATTGGCGCTCTGTATATCTTTCCTATGTTCCAACCACTTCTAAATTAGGTCGCTTGATTGTTCTGTAGTGTTAGAGACCAGATGATGTTCCACAGCGCACCCATAACATTTACTTATTTATTTCTTGGGAGAATTTGCCTTAAAGCAAAATAATTTTTTTGGAATCCGACATGAGAATAGCTGTCATATAAAATTAAGGCTAACAATAACTCCCCATTTATAATTTTGTGTCAACTCACTCCTGCCCATCCCTTTACTTGGTTTAATCAAAACTTTTGGGAAGGCATGAAGGTGTGTGGTTTTCAAACCTTCCAAGGAAGCATTGTGATCCCCTTCTTCCACACCTAATTTCACTCTATTAGCATTCATTAACCGGAGTTTAAGAAAGGCTTGTTCCCTAAGATTTAATGACCCTTTTGATGTAAGTTACTGAATATCAGTCAATGCGCAGCAAATGTTTTCTACCCAAATTCTTATGCCTTGATTTACAGTCAGTAGACCCTAGATTACCGGCCCTTCGGAGCGGGCTGCCCCACCTTACCCAGCACTGTCACCCGAGAGCGTAGACCAACTTGCGGGAGACTGAATATGTCAAGTATTTAAAATATATGTTTAATTACAGTTTGAAATATAAACCAAACAAATGTGTGGTTGCTGATACTCGGAATCGCAGATAGAAATGCGCCAAAACAGCTGGTGATTTATTTCACATTCATAAGGTTTTTGTTTTCCAAATGCTTAGTACAAATCATTGCAATTAAGTAGGCATTCAAGGTTCCGATTGTAAGGAAAATTAACACGAAATTATTAGTTTTGGTCATTTTTAAGCAGCATATTGTCTAAACCGACGAAATGCAGTCCCAAATACTATTTCAGTTGACTGAGGGCTAGGTAAATTTTGCATTTGCAGAAAAAACAGTTTTTCGGGACTTGTCATTGTTTGATCTGTTCTTGAGAACATTATGAGTTTTATGCACAATGCAAACGTCAGCAATTCTGTTAGTGCTGGCGAAAGATAAGAATAACCCAGATTCCTTTAAGTGAAGCCACAACTATTGGGACAGGATTTGTTTTGCAGGACTCTTGTTTATAACGAGAGAGCAAATGAGCTACTTATCCTTTGAAGCTTCAAAACAACGTTGCCATAATAGCACGTAAGAAATGCTCTAAGATCCACAAATAGGAGATATACTGAAAATGAACTCCATGAACAATCCTGGGTCCAATCACCACGCTGTAGTCAGAGCAAGGTAGCTTTTATTTCCATCATATTAATCCATATTAGAAGACTTACCCAAATCTGAAAAATAAGGCCTAGAGCTAGCCAAAAAGGGAAAGATAAAAGACATTGACTTTTACAAGATTACCCATGATGAATATATTG